TGCTCTACCAACTGAGCTAAATCCCTACTGGCCATTCCCTCCCCTACCCTGGACGACGCTGAGCCAATTGTGCGCCGCCCCATGGGTCTCCCGGTCACGGCCAGCTACGACAGAGCCTGGATTCAAACCAGGATCTCTAGTGGCACAACTAGCACTGCGATGCAGTGCCTTAGACCACTGCGCCACTCGGTGCCTGATTTGCTATGTGTTTGCACCTGATCCTGTTCCAGGTGAAATTATAATTAGTAATTGTACTCCCAAGTATAAAGTTTATCAACATTTCCACTAATACAGTTATTCAAAACATTGCACATCAGACCTCAGTATACTGTATGTGTGTCTCAAAAGAGGGAGGAGCTTTGACCACTCCCACCAGGTCAATATTGGAATCACTCCAGTCTTCCTGAGGAATTCCACAAGCAGATGATGGGGGAAGCCAAAGTCTGTCTGGATAATCACATAACCCTACAGACAGAAAGACAGATGATAATGAATATTATCAGTTGTGTATACCATTTATTTAGTCTTATAGTTTGTGTATACATTTTATTTGGAGTTTATGATAAGTAAGATTGAAGTACAGGTGTAAGAGTACTCACATCCTGAGAAACAACCTTCGGCTCGATGATATCAAACTGATTTGCTCCCTGTTTGTCCATGAGTGAGGTTAAACCTGGTTGTAGTAACTTTCAACGTGGCACCGTCATAGGATGCCACCTTTCCATAAAGTCAGTTCGTCAAATTTCTGCCCTGCTAGAGCTGCCCCGGTCAACTGTAAGTACTGTTATTGTGAAGTGGAAACGTCTAGGAGCAACAACGGCTCAGCCGCAAAGTGGTAGGCCACACAAGCTCACAGAACAGGACCGCCGAGTGCTGAAGTGCGCATAAAAATTGTCTGTCCTCGGTTGCAACACTCACTACCGAGTTCCAAACTGCCTCTGGAAGCAACGTCAACACAATAACTGTTCGTCGGGAGCTTCATGAAATGGGTTTCCATGGCCGAGCAGCCACACACAAGCCTAAGATCACCATGCGCAATGCCAAGGTCCGGCTGGAGTGGTGTAAAGCTCGCCGTCATTGGACTCTGGAGCAGTGGAAACGCGTTCTCTGGAGTGATGAATCACGCTTCCCCATCTGGCAGTCAAACGGACAAATCTGTGTTTGGCGGATGCCAGGAGAACCTTACTTGCCCCAATGCATAGTGCCAACTGTAAAGTTTGGTGGATGAGGAATAATGGTCTGGGGCTGTTTTTCATGGTTCGGCTAAGCCCCTTAGTTCCAGTGAAGGGAAATCTTAACGCAACAGCATACAATGACATTCTAGACGATTCTTTGCTTTCAACTTTGTTGCAACAGTTTGGGGAAGGCCCTTTCCTGTTTCAGTATGACAATGGCCCCATGCACAAAGCGAGGTCCATACAGAAATGGTTTGTCGAGATCAGTGTGGAAAAACTTGACTGGCCTGCACAGAGCCCTGACCTCAACCCCATCAAACACCTTTGGGATAAAGTGGAATGCCGACTGCGAGCCAGGCCTAATCGCCCAACATGTGTCCACATACCTTTGGCCATGTAGTGTAGCATTTGGGAAGTCATCAACAGCTATTGTTTAAATTCCGCCCAGGATTAAACCAAAAAAATAGACAATACATATAGGCCTAGGGTTTCAAGCTTTGGTTGATTTCAAATGGAATCTACAAGTTAATAATAAATATGTTGGATTCACGTCTCCATTTTAACCGAAAATCAGTAGAATAGGATTACAAATCAAGAATAGGATTACAAATCAAACTGTATTCAAAGTGCATTTAAAGTTAGATTTGATTTGATTTAGTCCTAGATTTTTTGTTGAAATGGAGATGTGAATCCAACATATCAATTATTAGTTAGTAGACAAACTGGAATTAAAGCTAGACTCAGTGGCACAGATGGAGCTGTATAAATTAACCAAATATCTCTCTTTGTTGTGCGTTTAAATGGTTGAAAGCACAGTGATAACACATTTATGTGACAACTAAACCACAAATCAGACATTGATTTTCCATTGAAATTTGGTTGTGCTTTTAGATGGTTGAAAGCATAGTGATAACACATTGGGAATTCAACAAACGTTTGGCTGTCTTTTTGAGTGGGTGAAAATAGGTATTTGGACAGTGATTCCTTCATTATGGAAATTATTTTGTGGAAAGAAGCAGTCTTTTTTTTTTTACTTGCACAGATGTTGGCGGCAGTGTAGGGTACTTGTTAGTGAACTGCCATGCAATCAGGAAGTTTGCAATCAAGGATTGAACCGTTAGTCACTGCAACCATTATGGAGGCACAGTGAATTCATCACAATAACATTTACACACATGTACAGTGCCTTGCAAAAGTATTCATCCCTCTTGGTGTTTTTCCTATTTTGTTGCATTACAACCTGTAATTTAAATGGATTTTTATTTGGATTTCATGTAATGAACATACACAAAATAGTCCAAATTGGTGAAGTGAAATTAAATAAATAAATAATGGAAAAGTGGTGCGTGCATATGTATTCACCCCCTTTGCTATGAAGCCCCTAAATAAGATCTGATGCAACCAATTACCTTCATAAGTCACATAATTAGTTAAATAAAGTTCACCTGTGTGCAATCTAAGTGTCACATGATCTCAGTATATATACACCTGTTCTGAAAGGCCCCATAGTCTGCAACACCACTAAGCAAGGGGCACCACCAAGCAAGGACCACTTTAAGCCGTACACTCCACAGAGCTGGGCTTTACTGAAGAGTGGCCAGAAAAAAGCCATTGCTTAAAGAAAAAATTAAGCAAACACGTTTGGTGTTCGCCAAAAGGCATGTGGGAGACTCCCCAAACATATGGCAGAAGGTACTCTGGTCAGATGAGACTAAAATTGAGCTTTTTGGCCATCAAGGAAAACGCTATGTCTGGTGCAAACCCAACACCTCTCATCACCCCGAGAACACCATCCCCACAGTGAAGCATGATGGTGGCAGCATCATGCTGTGGGGATGTTTTTCATCGGCAGGGACTGGGAAACTGGTCAGAATTGAAGGAATGATGGATGCATCAGCTAAATACAGGGAGATTCTTGAGGGAAACCTGTTTCAGTCTTCCAGAGGTTTGAGACTGGTACGGAGCTTCACCTTCCAGCAGGACAATGACCCTAAGCATACATTTAAATGTCTTGGAATGGCCTAGTCAAAGCCCAGACCTCAATCCAATTGAGAATCTGTGGTATTACTTAAAGATTGCTGTACACCAGCGGAACCCATCCAACTTGAAGGAGCTAGAGCAGTTTTGCCTTGAAGAATGGGCAAAAATCCCAGTGGCTAGATGTGCCAAGCTTATAGAGACATACCCCAAGAGACTTGCAGCTGTAATCGCTGCAAAAGGTGGCTCTACAAAGTATTGACCTTTGGGGGGGGTGAATAGTTATGCACGCTCAAGTTTCCTGTTATTTTGAATCTTCAAAGTGGTAGGCATGCTGTGTAAAGCAAATGATACAACCCCCCCTCCCAAAAAAAAATCAATTTTAATTCCAGGTTGTAAGGCAACAAAATAGGAAAGATGCCAAGGGGGTAATACTTTCGCAAGCCACTGTACTTCCAAAACATGTGAGGTAGGGTTATTATTTCTAAAGAGGCAATCCTTTTAAATGAATACATTTATTGCGTCTCCACAGAATATTTATGATACAGTAGCATCCACTAAAAAGCTGTTTTACCTAAATAAAAGGATGATCAATGGAAACAGGATGCACCTGAGCTCAATTTTGAGAGTCTGAATACTTATGTAAATGTCTTCAGTAAATGTCTTCAGTTTTCAATTTTTTTATACATTTGCAAAAACCTGATTTTGCTTTGTCATTATGGTTTCATGTGTGATTTTGTAAATTTATTTTTTATCCATTTCTGAATAAGGCTGTAACGTCACAAAATGTTGAAAAAGTCAAGGGGTCTTGAATAATTTCTGAATGCACTGTCTGTATACAGTTAAAGGCATTCCAAAAGGAATCACAATACATATTTTTCTCATCTGTATAACAAGGGAGCAAGGTCGCTATGCATAATTCTATTTTATTTTGTTTTTAGATGGACACAGCCAAGTTTGGCCTAAGGCCCACACAACTGCATATTCCTGTGTTTAACATAATTAATCTTTCAGTATTGATTTCACCTTTCTAATGAATTAAAACCACACCATGTTGACATTGCCTTCTATTTCACTTCTGAGACAACCAGAAAAGCATTCGATACTCATGCACAACCCTGTATAGCACATCCATCTCTGAGCAAGAGCAATACAAACTTGTTCGTCATATAGCACTATGAGCATCCCAGAATTAAACCCAGATGAAAGCAAGCTTGCATAATAAGATATGTTTTGTAAAGTGCTGTGTACAGATGTAGCAGATGTGATTGAACTTCGTAACTCTTGCATTGTGTTTTTTTTTTAAAGAAAGGAATGTCCAGCCAGCGGTCCCAGTTGATTGGTGTTTATTCTGACAATAGACAAAAGGAAGCACATTCAATGTGCAGGACAACAATAGGTTGATGGCTGCAGATTCATGATTCGTCGCTTGCATGTCAATATCAGACTGGGTAATTTTTTATCAAACATCTTTACAATGACAAAAATAGTACAAAATACAATAAAATGTGAAGGTCCTTGACGATAGACACAAGGAAGCACATTAGATGTGCAGGACAACAGTATGTTGATGGCTGTAGATTCGTGATTCGTCTGTTAATATGGAAATAACTGAAATAGCTGGGAGCTAAAGTGACCATTACAATTAGAGCATGCTAGCTAACTCGTTCTTACAGCAATGACCCCCAATATCTAACAGGTAGCGTACACATATATACACACACACACATCAGGACATGCACATAGTGAACTCCTACACATTGTAAATATGAAAATAGAACACAGTAATTTCACAACGTGGCCTACCGCCTGCATGTCAATATCAGACTGGGAAGAATTTACGTTTGCGATCTCTCCCTATCTGCAAGCATGACCAATGGCATAACACCTTTTGATATGTAAATTCAACCAACCAATAGGAATACAAAACATAGTGTTACACAGACAATACAATAATATTTACATTTTTTGTTCCAATACTCATTTACAGTATATACAACCATTTGGCAGAGAGAAGTGTATGTACTATACTGTATATACAACCATTTGGTCACTATCATAAGGCAGGAAGTGCCGAATGAACAACCATATCCCTAAACACACACTCATAACAGACTACAGGCATGGATTTGTATGCATTGAAGCCCTAAATCATTCATGATTTCTCACAAAATGTCCAGGCATCCATTATCCTGAAGTCCAAATAGGGAGGACTTCCTGTGACAGACGCAGGTCTGATACTCAGGGTAAATTCAGCTCCAGTGTGCCCCCTGCTGGAAAAGTTGATCATTCAGTTAGCCACTGCTAGGGCCTCTGGGACGAGGGAGGCAAAGAAGGCTTTGAAAAAGATCCAGGCAGTCCAAACGATGGACACCCTGTGTGGATGCACCAGCACTACAGTCAGGGGGTGTGGTTCATCAGGACCAACCTCAGCCTCCGCCCCGGCCCCCTCTTCTCCTGCAGGGACCTCCGTCTAAGGGAAGATGAGAAACTCTGTCAGCCCCAACGCCAGAGTTAAGATATAAACACACTAACACTGTATTTATTCAACACAGTTACTGAAATGCTACATGCTGTGTGATGAATGTTACTACATAAGGGCAGTAGCTAAATGCCTTGTTATAAAGCCATCTCTGTTTTCCACTGCCAGAGAGAACGTGTCTTACAGGTGGAACTGGGTTCCTGTCCTGGTGGTTCTGGATGACCTCGGGGACCTGGTTGTTGGGACCTCTGACCAGGGGCCTTCTTCTGAAGGGGAACCAGCCTGCTGTGTGCCTGAGAGGAAGACAACAGGGATTAATAAAGTAGATCTGCATGATTTTTCTTAAACTGTGTGTCTATTACACAGTCATAGTATACAGTCAAAGTATACAGGATACATGTTATTTGTGAGTACATCTTATTCACGTGGTGGTGAATTTCACATTATTAATGGTTAAGAACAGGTGGTGAAAACAAAGAGGCAGTACAAACTCACTGACATGATAATAATGGAAACTGTTTACATTCCTAGGACCAGTCCAACTAACAGATAGTGAACGTTTTCTTTCCCACTCTCCTTTCTAAACATGAACTTCCAACACACTGAGACCAGTGTAATCATTAGCGAGGGCGGTGGAGTACTAACCACTAAACCTTGTTACACAGATCTCTCGCTCTCAACATGAACAAACAGGAGATGGGTAAATAAGAACAAACAAACACAGTCACATAAACAGCAAACTCACAGGTACATAAGGAGCAGGCTGCTCATGACCAGGACGAAGCGGCTCAGACTGGAGTAGAAGTAGATGATGCTGAGGAAGACAGCCAGACGTGCAGCCGTGTACACCCAGTCCAGCCAATCACGATCCATATCCTCCTCATCCTCCATCACAGGTCCGCCCTGGGCGTTCATCCGCAGATTCTGATTGGCTGCTCCCGGGTTGATGAAGGCGGCGTCCTGTGCATTCTGATTGGCTGGCAGGGCTGCTGCGACAGCGGCTTGGTGGGGTGCGACAGGCAGGGATTGGCCGGCAGCTGGGGCAAAGGGGGCAGAGGCTGCTGCTGCGTAGGCTGCATGGCTATGGGACAAAAGACAGACACAGTCTAAGCAAAACACACTTCAAGTATTTTCCCTGCTTAACCCTTGGCCTACAATTTCCTCGCCCCACAAAAATCTAATTAACATAATAAATAATCCCCATCGAAATGTGTCTGTTTAAGCTAGATATCTGTTTATTTGCATGGGCTGCTTCTCAATACACTGCATCCGCCGATTTCGCCCTAGAGTGGTGTTTGTCAGAACATGAGACGTCCTGAAAACCGGTCTTCTCACAAAAACGTCCGTAGTGTCCGAACGGTTTGGCCTACAAATTATTATGACCAATCTATTGAAAGATGATACTCTCACGAACACGACAGTTCTAGGACGCCCACAAGCCTCACAAGACTAATCTGAAGTCGGTACAGCCTCTTCTGCCAACTTCTGTCTGTAGCTTCCAAACGGCTTGGGCTACACACTAATATGACACCTCTGTGGAAGGCTGACTCTTTTGTTCTAGGACGCCCACAAGCGTCATAAGACTCATCTGAAGGTCCCCGGTACCAGTTCAAAAAATGAATGGAAGTATATATGGAGATACATTTAGTGCCTAAAACAAACAAAATTAAATTCCTGATATTCTTATATCTCTCTGATATAGGACAGACACTTCAGAACAAACTTCCTTTTTATTTTTGGGGGGACTGTAGTGAATCTGTTATTCAATGAGTTTCTATTGGATAATAGCAGTAATGCCAAATTCAATGTTTCATCCAATAACTTTTGTATATATTATTTTGATAGGGCTTAGACTCTAGAGCAGGGATCATCAACTAGAATCAGCAGCAGGACAATTTTATTTTATTTATTTATTGCGCGGATGGTCGGAACATAATTACAAATCATTTGTAGACGGCAAATTGACCGCAAAAACCCAAACAGATACACTACCGTTCAAAAGTTTGGGGTCACTTAGAAATGTCCTTGTTTTCCATGAAAACATACATGAAATGAGTTTGAATATGAAATATAGCAAAATTAATAGGAAATGTAGTCATTGACAAGGTTAGAAATAATGATTTTTAATAGAAATAATAATTGTGTCCTTTGCTTTCATCAAATAATTCTCAATTTGCAACAATTACAGCCTTGCAGACCTTTGGCATTCTAGTTGTCAATTTGTTGAGGTAATCTGAAGAGATTTCAACCCATACTTCCTGAAGCACCTCCCACAAGTTGGATTGGCTTGATGGGCACTTCTTACGTACCATACGGTCAAGCTGCTCCCACAACAGCTCAATAGAGTTGAGATCCGGCGACTGTGCTGGCCACTCCATTATAGACAGAATACCAGGTGACTGCTTCTTCCCTAAATAGTTCTTGCATAATTTGGAGCTGTGCTTTGGGTCATTGTCCTGTTGTAGGAGGAATTTGGCTCCAATCAAGCGCCGTCCACAGGGTATGGCATGTCGTTGCAAAATGGAGTGATAGCCTTCCTTCTTCAAGATCCCTTTTACCCTGTACTAATCTCCCACTTTACCACCAGCAAAACACCCCCATACCATCATATTGCCTCCACAATGCTTGACAGATGGCATCAAGCACTCCTCCAGCATCTTTTCATTTGGTCTGCTTCTCACAAATGTTCTTCTTTGTGATCTGAACACCTCAAACTTCGATTCTTCTGTCCATAACACTTTTTTCCAATCTTCCAGTGTCTGTGTTCTTTTGCCCAGCTTAATCTTTTCTTTTTATTGGCCAGTCTGAGATATGGCTTTTTCTTTGCAACTCTGCCTAGAAGGTCAGCATCCAGGAGTCGCCTCTTCACTGTTGACGTTGAGACTGGTGTTCTGCGGGTACTATTTAATGAAGCTGCCAGTTGAGGACCTGTGAGGCGTCTGTTTCTCAAAACTAGACACTAATGTATTTGTCCTCTTGCTCAGTTTTGCACTGGGGCCTCCCACTCCACGTTCTATTCTGGTTAGAGCCAGTTTGAGCTGTTCTGTGAAGGGAGTAGTACATAGCGTTGTACGAGATCTTCAGTTTCTTGGCAATTTCTCACATGGAATAGCCTTCATTTCTCAGAACAAGAATAGACTGATGAGTTTCAGAAGAAAGTTATTTGTTTCTGGCCACTTTGAGCCTGTAATCAAACCCACAATTGAAGATGCGCCAGATACTCAACTAGTTTCAAGAAGGTCAGTTTTATTGCTTCATTAATCAGCACAATAGTTTTCAGCTGTGCTAACATAATTGCAAAAGGGTTTTCTAATGATCAATTAGCCTTTTAAAATGGTAAACTTGGATTAGCAAACACAACGTGCCATTGGAACACAGGACTGATGGTTGCTGATAATGGGCCTCTGTACGCCTATGTAGATATTCAATAAAAAATCTGCCGTTTCCAGCTACAATAGCTATTTCCAACATTAACAATGTCTACACTGTATTTCTGATCAATTTGATGTTATTTTAATGGACAATTGTTTTTATTTTCTTTCGAAAACAAGGACATTTCTAAGTGATCCCAAACTTTTGAACGGTAGTGTGTTTGACTAAAACGTAATAATATCAAACCTTGCTTACAATTGTATACGATCATGTTTCTCTATTATGCGTTGGAATAGTTGGGAACAGATTTCTTAAATAAAAATCACTTGGAGCTGATTTCCTGGTGTTTTAGTCTATTATGTCAAAAACTAAAATGACACACAGCAGTGGAAAAAATTAAGAGACCACTGCAAATGTTTCTTAAATCAGCATCTCTACATGTACTGTGAGGGAAAAAAGTATTTGATCCCCTGCTGATTTTGTACGTTTGCCCACTGATAAAAACATGATCAGTCTATTATTTTAATGGTAGGTTTATTTGAACAGTGAGAGACAGAATAACAACAACAAAATCCAGAAAAACACATGTCAAAAATGTTATGAATTGATTTGCATTTTAATGAGGGAAATACGTATTTGACCCCTCTGCAAAACATGACTTAGTACTTGGTGGCAAAACCCTTGTTGGCAATCACAGAGGTCAGACGTTTCTTGTAGTTGGCCACCTGGTTTGCACACATCTCAGGAGGGATTTTGTTCCACTCCTCTTTGCAGATCTTCTCCAAGTCATTAAGGTTTCGAGGTTGACGTTTGGCAAATCGAACCTTCAGCTCCCTCCACAGATTTTCTATGGGATTAAGGTCTGGAGACTGGCTAGGCCACTCCAGGACCTTAATGTGCTTCTTCTTGAGCCACTCCTTTGTTGCCTTGGCCGTGGGTTTTGGGTCATTGTCATGCTGGAATACCCATCCATGACCCATTTTCAATGCCCTGGCTGAGGGAAGGAGGTTCTCACCCAAGATTTGACGGTACATGGCCCCGTCCATCGTCCCTTTGATGCGGTGAAGTTGTCCTGTCCCCTTAGCAGAAAAACACCTCCATGTTTGACGGTGGGGATGGTGTTCTTGGGGTCATAGGCAGCATTCCTCCTCCTCCAAACACGGCGAGTTGAGTTGATGCCAAAGAGCTCCATTTTGGTCTCATCTGACCACAACACTTTCACCCAGTTCTCCTCTGAATCATTCAGATGTTCATTGGCAAACTTCAGACGGCCCTGTATATGTGCTTTCTTGAGCAGGAGGACCTTGCGGGCGCTGCAGGATTTCAGTCCTTCACGGCGTAGTGTGTTACCAATTGTTTTCTTGGTAACTATGGTCCCAGCTGCCTTGAGATCATTGACAAGATCCTCCCGTGTAGTTCTGGGCTGATTCCTCACCGTTCGTATGATCATTGCAACTCCACGAGGTGAGATCTTGCATGGAGCCCCAGGCCGAGGGAGATTGACAGTTATTTTGTGTTTCTTCCGTTTGCAAATAATCGCACCAACTGTTGTCACATTCTCACCAAGCTGCTTGGCGATGGTCTTGTAGCCCATTCCAGCCTTGTGTAGGTCTACAATCTTGTACCTGACATCCTTGGAGAACTCTTTGGTCTTGGCCATGGTGGAGAGTTTGGAATCTGATTGATTGATTGCTTCTGTGGACAGGTGTCTTTTATACAGGTAACAAGCTGAGATTAGGAGCACTCCCTTTAAGGTTGTGCTCCTAATCTCAGCTCGTTACCTGTATAAAAGACACCTGGGAGCCAGAAATCTTTCTGATTGAGAGGGGGTCAAATACTTATTTCCCTCATTAAAATGCAAATCAATTTATAACATTTTTTTTTACATGCGTTTTTCTGGATTTTTTTGTTGTTATTCTGTCTCTCACTGTTCAAATAAACCTACCATTAAAAGTATAGACTGATCATTTCTTTGTCAGTGGGCAAACGTACAAAATCAGCAGGGGATCCTACTGTCCTGCCATACCATATTATTAACCCTCTAGAGCAGGGTTCCCCAACTGGCGGCCCATGGGCCCCCAAAGTTTTCTGTGTGTGTGTGTGTGTGTGTGTATATATATATATATATATATGTGATAAAATGCATGTGATTGAATACTTACTACTGCATGTAGTACTGGCGAGCATACATGTGCTGCAGCCAGAGAAGCTGTTGAGGGCTGTAGAGGGAGTAAGTGGGGAAGGTTGGGTTGGTCATCTCTGCTGCCACTAGCCTAGAGACACAGGATAATAACAGTGTGAATTGCATGTCATGTCAGACTGAAGGATAGAACAATGTATTGCATATAATCTCTCCCAGCAATATAACTTTTCATAAAGTAACACAAGTAATATATACTGTACTAATATCACCAGCCTTATGCAAAGAATGCACCAGTTTTGTTAACTCACGTTGTAGTGCCAGGCCATGCAGCTGCCGGTGGGGCATTAGAGGGGGCAGTGGGCCTGCGCTGTCTCAGCTCTGGTTCATTGGGGACAGATGGGGCTGGGGAGGCACCCTCTGGGTTCTGTCTGGTAGGCATGGCCGAGGGTTGTGCCTCTTGCTGCTCTGGTTCCCTGACCTGAATCAAAAGTGAGACATGGTGTTACACCACAGTTGTGGAAATCAGTGGATGCTCCTCAGAGGAGGAAGGAGAGGACCATCCTCAGTGAATTTCAGAAAAATAAAAAGTAAAACATTAGTTTTATCTAAAAAGGGGGAAAAAGTATCTAACTATTGAATAAAACACACTGTTTTGCAATGAAGGTCTACAGTAGCCTCAACAGCACTCTGCAGAGTAGCACAATGGTGTAGCCGGAGGACAGCTAGTTTCCATCCTCCTTTGGGTACATTGACTTCAATACAAAACCTAGGAGGCTCATGGTTCTCTAATTATGACAACTTCCAGAGGACGTCCTCCAACCTGTCAAAGCACTTGCAGCATGAACTGACATGTTGTCCACCCAATCAAAGGATAAGAGAATACATCTTGTACTGAAAGCATAAGCTACAGCTAGCTAGCACTGCAGTGCATAAAATGTGGTAAGTAGTTGACTCAGAGAGAAAGACAATAGTTGTAAACTATTTAAACATCAACAAATTACTTTCTTCAAAAATGAAGAAGCAAGAGAGGGAGAGAGAGCGCTAGCTATATTTCGTTGTATTTATTTTTTCACTTTCACTTACTTTGCTAGCGAATGTAGCTAGCTAGGTTTAACCTACTCAAACAGAGGGATGCCATGTTAGCTAGCTGGCTATGGCTATCCAACACTGGAACTCTTCCAAGTCAAGGTAAGCGTTTGGTTTTACAAATGTATTGCCACCGGGGCCCGCCAGTGTAACTGCTAAACTGCATGATTGTAGCAGGTTTACTAATGTGTTAGTTCTATTAGCTATGTTGACTATGACGTTAGCTAATATGATGACAACGATGTAGGCTGTGTGTAGCGTTTAGCGGTTATGATATGAAGGTTTGGCTTGGAAAGATTTTTTCACCTGGTCACAGACAGCTGATGTGTTGTGCCCTGAAGTCCACAAGCAAAGGGAAAAGGTGAAAGGAGGAGATCGCGTAGATGCGAGAAGGAATACAACGAGCAAAGTGATCATGCTGTTTGTATGTGGCTGCTATGAAAGTGAACTGTGTTTGCATGTGATCAGGGGTGTATTCATTCCGCCAATTCTGTTGAAAATCTTAAACGGAAGCAAACGGAACAAAACGGGGATAAACATACCTGAATTTGTCCAATAGAAACTCTCCTTTGCAACTGTTGGACTAATGATTACACCCTAGAACAGCTAGATGCAGGCAAGTGTGTGCAAGGTGGTATTGAATGTTTCACTGTCTGTTACCTTGATTACTCAAACATTTCTCTCGACCTGTGTGCACTGACATTGTTAACTTTCATTCATAGGCTAGGCTGTAGCAACTTCATGATTGGTATAGGGAAAATGTAAGTATCATGTAGTAGTCTAAACCTATCGATATTACACTGAGCTGGGTGAATGGAATATGAATGACAGTCATCCAATATGCTGTAATAGAAATAAGGCCATGCTCATTAAAAAAATTATCGTCCTCCCTCATCTTAAAGCGGCACGACCGCCATTGGTGAACATACATAATGTACAAAGTGACAACAGAAACCATCACAGTAGACTAGAGGATTCAAAGGAAAACGTTTGGACAGTATCTTGCTTGTCCTTAGTTTTCAATTGTTCTAACGTGAAAGGTACTTGGTCCTGGTTCCTTAAACTGCACTTTATTGTTTGCATACCATTCCCAATCTGAAAAAAGCTTTTTACAAGATTGATCCCTCACAGACATATCTAGACCCATTTGGCACTCAGCACTAAAATACAGGAATATACTCACAGAATTTTTTTTAAGTTATGTGAAACTCCCGACCTAGCTATCTTTAGCTCTAGATGCACAGCTATAAGCTGCAGTAAAGTTTCAGAGATGCAAAGTTATGGTCTCCAGAGAATCCTAATGAGAGCAGCTGTGCACTTGTCTCCAGCTACCCACTGAGCTGGGACTCCTCTCTCCAGAGAACAGAACAGACTCCACTGACGCTGACGCATCCTCAACCACTGAAGAGCGGAATAATTGAGACGATTTTGGCTGATAGGGCGTTTTGGCTTATCAAATTATTCCTTATCAACTGTGTGAGGTGGCTTTTTCCTAAGCTGAATGTCTGGCTTTGACTGTCCTTTGTCAGCTCCGGGAGCTCCCAATTACAGCTACTAGTTAATATTCATGAGGTGTGCATGTTTTCTAAAGGAGAAAAACGAGGGAATCACTGGCATGGCAGAACTAAAAACGAAAAAGTTTCATCATGGTTTGGCACAATATCTTGGGGAGCAACAACTGAGGCATTGTTGACTGATCCTATTTAATGAGTAGATTTAAAATAGCTTCACCTAGGTCTACATCATAACCTTCAAATAGAATCCAGTGTCACAGTTTGAGATAGGGTTCCATATGTGGTTCTTTACCTTGGGTCTTGCTCCTAGCGGACCTATAGGCTGAGTCCTGACTGCACACACCAGGTGCACAGTGGGTGTTAGGTCCGTCTGTGAAGACATATACATACATGATTAGATATCCCAGACGGAATAAGCCACAGTAACGTACATGGCATCCATTCTTGGCACGGGATATAGAGGGACACTCATTCAACCTTTAGAAATAAAAACGTAATAACAAAGAATGGCTATTGAAAAATCCAGTGAGAAAAGTAGTGAACTGAGTGATCAACATCTGATCTGAAGTTTAGAAAAGGGGTTATCAGGGGCTTATAACGGGCTTGAACTCCAGGGATGTCAAAGCCCAGTTTACAGTCTGGGTTTTGTTCAACAATAATGTGAGATTATAGTATTGTGATTAATTTACAAAACAGATGAAATATACACACTGTTCTGCACAGTTTTATAAGTCACTGCAGTAATACTAAAACAACTAGGACATGTTTTGCAATTCGCTGAGTTCAGATATTTGTGTGGGCAGACTGAATCCCTGATCTAGGCACATTATGTGAAGCAACACAAACATAGACATGCATACAAACACACGATAACATACACACATGTACACATGGATCTTGTGTTATATATATCTGGTAGTAGGGTAGAGGCCTGAGGGCACACACTTAATATGTTGTGAAATCTGTTATGAATGTATTGTAATGTTTTTTAAATGTATAACTGCCTTAATTTTGCTGGACCCCAGGAAGAGTAGCTGCTGCCTTGGCAGCAACTACTGGGGATCCACAGTAAATACAAATCAAATCAAATGTTATTTGTCACATGCGCCGAATACAACAGGTGTAGACCTTACAGTGAAATGCTTACTTACAAGCCCTTAACCAACAATGCAGTTTTAAGAAAGAATACCAAAAAATACAGGGGGTACCGGTACCAAGTCAATGTGCAGGGGCACCGGTTAGTCGAGGTAATAGGTAAATGTAGGATGAGTTATTAAAGTGACTATGTATAGATAATAAACAGAGAGTAGCAGCAGCCTAAAAGATGGGGGGGGGGGGGGGGGGGGGGGGGGTGGGGCAATGCAAATAGTCTGGGTAGCCATTTGATTAGATGATCAGGAGTCTTTTGGCTTGGGGGGTAGAAGCAGTTTAGAAGCCTCTTGGACCTAGACTTGGTGCTCCGGTACCGCTTGCCGTGCGGTAGCAGAGAGAACAGTCTATGACTAGGGTGGCTGGAGTCTTTGACAATTTTTAGGGCCTTCCTGGTATAGAGGTCCTGGATGGCAGGAAGCTTGGCCCCAGTCAGTGATGTACTGGGCCGTACGCACTACCCTCTGTAGTGCCTTGTGGTCGGAGGCCGAGCAGTGATGCAACCAGTCAGGATGCTCTCGATGGTGCAGCTGTAGAACCTTTTGAGGATCTGAGGACCCATGCCAAATCTTTTCAGTCTCCTTAGGGGGAATAGGTTTGTCCTGCCCTCTTCACGACTGTCTTGGTGTGCTTGGACCATGTTAGTTTATTGATGAAGCCAGTGACTGATGTGGTGTACTCCTCAATGCCATCGGAAGAATCCCAGAACATATTCCAGTCTGTGCTAGCAAAACAGTCCTGTAGCTTAGCATCTGCTTCATCTGACCACTTTTTTATTGACTGAGTCACTGGTGCTTCCTGCTTTAGTTTTTGCTTGTAAGCAGGAATCAGGAGGATAGAATTATGGTCAGATTTGCCAAATGGAGGGCAAGGGAGAGCTTTGTACGGGTCTCTGTGTGTGGAGTAATGGTGGTCTAGAGGTTTTTTCCCTCTGGTTGCACATGTAACATGCTGGTAGAAATTAGGTAAAACGGATTTAAGTTTCCCTGCATCAAAGTCCCCGGCCACTAGGAGCGCCACCTCTAGATGAGCATTTTCTGTTTGCTTATGGCTATATACAGTTCATTGAGAGCGGTCTTAGTGCCAGCATCAGTTTGTGGTGGTAAATAAACAGCTATGAAGAATATAGATGAAAACTCTCTTGGTAGAAAGTGTGGTCTACAGCTTATCATGAGATACTCTACCTCAGGCGAGCAAAACCTTGAGACTTCCTAAGATATCGTGCACCAGCTGTTATTTACAAATATACATAGACTGCCCCCCCTTGTCTTACCAGAGGCTGCTGTTCTATTCTGCCGATACAGTATATAACACGCCAGCTGTATGTTATTCAAATGTTGAATCAATAACATTATATTTTTGAAAGATGATGCCTGCAATCTGATCAGATGCTTGAAACATAACACAGTATATAGCTAGAGTTCTGAGAATATGTCTAGTTGTTAGATAGGTGAACAAGCACACACGTACCTTTCTGAAAATATCTCTTACATGCAGGTGGTCTGGGAGCAGCTTGCCAGAGTAAATTAGTCTCTGATCACCTTCAGCCTGTGGGGGAAAGGGGGACAGATGTCAACACAAGACACACACTGACAGCAACCACGATTTATACACACAACTATTCATAGCCTAACTAGCTAACTTAGCTGTTTGGCTTGAATGATTGTTATTGACAGTAGCTAGCATCACATTAGCTGGCAAGCTTCCTTGACCTATATAACTTGGCAAGGACTGGCTAGCTTGCTCTGGTAGCTAGCTAAGTTAACTATTACATTCACTCACCGGGTTGTTTGGGTACATCCTCGATAAATGTGTCTTCAACTCTTTCACTGTCCAGTCCATGTCAACTCCTTCAATCGTTTGATCCCCGTGGGCTTGATTAGGTGTTTTTATCACAAGCTTGATTGTCTTTTGTCTAGAAAAACCAGTATTATCCATTTTTATTTTCTTGTGACCTCTCCCAACGCGATTAGATAGTAGCTACAATGTAGCCTCTTAGTTACCAAGTAATAATACCAACGGAGTAAGTACCTACAGTATCTGAAATGTCAGAGAAACAAAGTTGCAATTTCTTCACCCGAAAACTTTTTAGTTGAAATGAGGAAGTAGTTGACACAGGCTGTCGCGTGAAAAGGAGTGTTGTTTGGAAACACATTGTGGCTTGATGTGATTGGCTAACCAAGGCTCGTGATCAGACGTGGAGGCTCCGGGAGCATTCTGTCATGCGCATGCTCTGCAACGATCACGCTACCAGCTTTGAAGTTACAGTTCCCCATGTATGAGTTATATCAGTCATATTTGAACACTTTGCCCTGGCCTGTCCAAATTATTTTCCACATTAAAAAGACAGAAACAATTCATTAGATAATTATGCTCTGTACTATGCTTATCAAACAAACAATTTGTGGGTTCTGGTTCAACCAAAATAACTTTATTTTTAAAGTTAGGCTTCTTAGAATTAACATTGAAACGATTATTATGATATTGGTGTTCTTTCAAGGGATTACACAATACAAGAAGCCTAGTTATCACTTTAAACTTTGTTTACAAGTCCAACATTTCTATAAAAGCACATTCTTTTTTTAAAACTGACAATTACAAATACACACTGGTGTTACACTTCAAAACAGTCTATCATCAAGCACACTATCAACAAATGTTATATCCTACTGCTTAATGATGATAACGACAACAATGCTTCTGCTACTGATGATGATACTGATGACGTTAAACGTAATCAGATATTTCACAGATGGCTAAGGAGTCTGCTGATGATAATGAAAGAAGTGAAATGTCATAACCAGAGCACTTCTACCAGAGAAAATCTGATTCATTATCACCAGGGCTATAACAATACTATTTTCCTCGGCTATTGGGTGATTTCATTAAACATAGTTAAAACAGGGATCACTGACAATAGAAGGTGAGCACATGCTCTTGGTTTCCCCTCACCCGTAAGTGGGCGCAGGTCACGAGTCAGAGTCTCCAGCCAAGCCATGCACAGAGCACTGGGATATTGCCCTCTCCTTTCCACAGGCATGGTTCTGTCAATAAGAGAACATAGCTCAGTTATCACTCCAATATCCCTCTCACCTTTATGGGCTTTGTAATGGGATGGGGTGGGTTGAAGTCAATGAATGCAATGAAAACATCTGGTTTGTAAAGACAAAATATGTACACAACAATTATGGCTGCATTCCTTGAGTAATCTTGGAGAACCTCATTCAGAGTAATCGTTGAAGGGTCTGGAGCAAAAACACACATGGCGGTACAGTAAGCAGAGAACAATGATACTGTCAAAATTCCAGAACATGTATTCCACATCTAGCTATGCTACATTTTTTGCAATGGAGTGGTCCTGCCCTTTGGACCAACGAAGCCCAGTTAATTATCTTATTTCTCTCCATCTCCTCACCAGACACCACCCAGGGACAGTCCTGGTTCATCTGCCGCATGCCCATCCTTCTGGTCGGTGTTCAGCTTGTAGGTCCCTATCAGATCCTCAAACCTCCTCACACTGTCAGAGAGGCAGAGGGAAGTGTCTCAACAGAGCATTGACCTGCATAAATTGTGAATCGACGTAGATGAAATTCATAGGGTTTAATCACTGTGCAACTGAACTCCTACGTAAGAATAAGACAGTACAATGCTGAATAAGACACAATCATACAGTATAGAGTGAGTGACAGGGAACCATACTGTTCAGGTTGTGGGATGTAGCTCAGTTGGTAGAGCATGGTGTTTGCAACGGTTGTGAGTTCGATTCCCACGGGGGGCCAGTATGAAAAAAATTATAATAATGTATGCACTCACTAACTGTAAGTCGCTCTGGATAAGAGCGTCTGCTAAATGACTAAAATGTCAAATGTGGTCTTCCATTGATATCAGGCAGCACTTTGACGTCATGGAAACCAAGGCCGAACTTGCCGATAAGGGCCATGACTATAAATGGGACACAAAGGACATGCTCAGTTGAACTATTCAAAGGAGGGGAAAGGCCAAGGGGGATCCTGACAACATGATATAATATCTCTAATGCCCAGTATGACCCGAAACATGCTACACTCACTCTTTCCTTTGCTCCTCCCTTCGCTGGATGTCTCCGCCCACAAAGACGCGTACCTTGCACCTTGCCCAGCGCTTCTTACGAGTGAGCAGGTAGGGAAGTAGCAACATCACAACAGCCTTAACTTTTACCTTTCACACATAACATTGACCCCTTTGCCTGATATGACCATGACATAATCTATCCTATGTTATCTCTCTGACTTGTGGTACTTGACATTTAACAACATTGCATGATTTATGACCCCACATTATCAGTCTGACTATGTTGTAAATCTTGAGATTTGTGGATAGGCACAATCAGATCCACAACAATAAACTCACCTCCATCATTGAACCATCAATGGTTTTTTCCCCCTGCTTGGACTGAAACACAGTATGAAGCTGAGGCTCAGTCACCATGGCATCAGGATCTACTGTAACCAAGACAACATCCCTCTGTCAATACTATTAAAAAAAACACCACAAACTGTATACTCTGAATGTTATCATACATAAATGAAACATTTGCAGGGGTGCACACAGGTGTTGACACCCCTCTCTGGGCTTGCCTCAAACACAGGGTTAACTGCAAAAAAAAGAGGCAATGATATGTAAGGACCTGAAATCTTCATGCTCGTTGGATTCCTCACCATGTGCTTGTGCCTGCCGAGACATGTCTAGACCCTCCCTCACCCACAGCCCACACACTTCATACTGCAGGTCAAATTAGTCACTAAAACACAGCCACGAAGACACATTAAACTGCATTCTCACTCTAACACATCCATAAGGAACTAATCTTTCTGATTTGATTGAGTGATTCACTCACTGTAGAATGCCAATGTAGTTGTCAATGCAGGATGGTCTGTCCTTATGCCATCCCTTTTGAACCCCATCAGGAGGATGTTTGGCCTGATCCGACCAAACCTGCACCCTGGGGGAATACAGTATAACACATTAATTAAATCCTACAGTATGGAACCTCATGATGAACTGGATCTAGACCATTGTTCTACTAGATCTCACTGCTTCGGTGATGGAGATAAGGCTTGGAAATTGGCCCACCTGGAGCAGCATCTGAAACCCAGTGTGCAGGTCATCTGCCACCACACCTTGATAGAAGGATTTGATCCGCCACTTGTTCAGTCAGGTCACATGACTGTTGCTACTGGCAGCGTCCAAAGCTGAGGGAGAAGGCCCTCCCTTTTGGCACAGCAGGGTGACAGAGAGAGAGCGGGAATGTGAGGTTTATGGCATAGAATATAAAATATAGCCAATGCAAAATCAGGGATTGACATGTGTGGCTCAGTTGGTAGAGCATGGTGCTTGCAATGCCAAGCGTCATCGGTTTGATTCTTGCTGGGGCCACCCATATGAAAAAATGTATGCATGCATGACTGTAAGTCGCTGTGGATAAAAGTGTTTGCTAAATGGCATATATTATTAATTAAACCTTCAATACGTAACTTTCTGGGCGACCCGACCAAATTCACATAGAAATTTGAGTTTTAGATCTGTCATTCTCATTGAAAGCAAGTCTAAGAAGCTGTAGATACAGTGGGGGGAAAAAAGTATTTAGTCAGCCACCAATTGTGCAAGTTCTCCCACTTAAAAAGATGAGAGAGGCCTGTAATTTTCATCATAGGTACACGTCAACTATGACAGACAAATTGAGAAAAAATAATCCAGAAAATCACATTGTAGGATTTTTAATGAATTTATTTGCAAATTATGGTGGAAAATAAGTATTTGGTCACCTACAAACAAGCAAGATTTCTGGCTCTCACAGACCTGTAACTTCTTCTTTAAGAGGCTCCTCTGTCCTCCACTCGTTACCTGTATTAATGGCACCTGTTTGAACTTGTTATCAGTATAAAAGACACCTGTCCACAACCTCAAACAGTCACACTCCAAACTCCACTATGGCCAAGACCAAAGAGCTGTCAAAGGACACCAGAAACAAAATTGTAGACCTGCACCAGGCTGGGAAGACTGAATCTGCAATAGTTAAGCAGCTTGGTTTGAAGAAATCAACTGTGGGAGCAATTATTAGGAAATGGAAGACATACAAGACCACTGATAATCTCCCTCGATCTGGGGCTCCACGCAAGATCTCACCCCGTGGGGTCAAAATGATCACAAGAACGGTGAGCAAAAATCCCAGAACCACACGGGGGGACCTAGTGAATGACCTGCAGAGAGCTGGGACCAAAGTAACTAAGCCTACCATCAGTAATACACTACGCCGCCAGGGACTCAAATCCTGCAGTGCAAGACGTGTCCCCCTGCTTAAGTCAGTACCTGTCCAGGCCCGTCTGAAGTTTGCTAGAGTGCATTTGGATGATCCAGAAGAGGATTGGGAGAATGTCATATGGTCAGATGAAACCAAAATAGAACTTTTTGGTAAAAACTCAACACGTCGTGTTTGGAGGACAAAGAATGCTGAGTTGCATCCAAAGAACACCATACCTACTGTGAAGCATGGGGGTGGAAACATCATGCTTTGGGGCTGTTTTTCTGCAAAGGGACCAGGACGACTGATCCGTGTAAAGGAAAGAATGAATGGGGCCATGTATCGTGAGATTTTGAGTGAAAACCTCCTTCCATCAGCAAGGGCATTGAAGATGAAACGTGGCTGGGTCTTTCAGCATGACAATGATCCCAAACACACCGCCCGGGCAACGAAGGAGTGGCTTCGTAAGAAGCATTTCAAGGTCCTGGAGTGGCCTAGCCAGTCTGCAGATCTCAACCCCATAGAAAATCTTTGGAGGGAGTTGAAAGTCCGTGTTGCCCAGTGACAGCCCCAAAACATCACTGCTCTAGAGGAGATCTGCATGGAGGAATGGGCCAAAATACCAGCAACAGTGTGTGAAAACCTTGTGAAGACTTACAGAAAACGTTTGACCTGTGTCATTGCCAACAAAGGGTATATAACAAAGTATTGAGAAACTTATTGACCAAATACTTATTTTCCACCATATTTTGCAAATAAATTCATTAAAAATCCTACAATGTGATTTTCTGGATTTTTTTTCCTCATTTTGTCTGTCATAGTTGACGTGTACCTATGATGAAAATTACAGGCCTCTCTCATCTTTTTAAGTGGGAGAACTTGCACAATTGGTGGCTGACTAAATACTTTTTTTCCCCACTGTATGTTCTATGTTCACTATTTCTATGCTTAAAATACAATATTTTTGGTTATTGAAAATATATTTCACTGCGGTTTAGATGGTACAATGATTCTCTACACTATACATTTCTTGTTTTGTCACATAAACTGAAATTAGGTGAACTATTAGAATTTTAGCAACTAGGAGATGGTGGAGCGATTTCTGCATATTGCACCTTTAAGGTCTGAAAGGTACTTGCCCATTAGGCAAGTCAGGAGTATTTTGGGGTTGGCCAAAGATTGTTATCACTTGCCTGAAAATATTAAGTAGCTATTGTCACCTACATACAGGGGAGGAATCAGAAGAACAGCGACTAACATTCTTTGCATTTTGGTTGTTATCTGCAAGAAAAAAATCACCTGCCCAATGGGACAACCTCACAGCAGGCTCAACTTGTGCGACTGTTCAGGTCACTTTCCCCGGGCAATAGGACAACCCTTGATGTCAATCTCTGTACAATGATTCAAGATGATAACTCACAGTGACAACATTCCCACACATCATCAGGCTTAGATTCTTGGTAAAGGTTCCGACAATGTCGACCAGTGCAGGCCGAGAGCTGGGCAGAACACTGAGAACTAGACACTGAGATCTGAGTGGAGGGAAGCAAGAAGAGAGGGAATAAGAAGATTACATACAAAGTGAGACATTTTTATTTAGTTGTTACAGTAACAAAAGGTTGACATTGTTCTCATTAGGTCCTCCGCATAGGCTGTGCGTGAGTTTCAAGTTTGGAGAAGCTAATTTTCACCATAAAAATTCAACTTTATAATAAAGCATTCCATGCATCATCGCATGTGCAGACTTATGTAAGATAGCCTACTATTCGTAATGTGATGAGAAGATTGGATATTCATAATTTAGGCTATTAATATAACTCAATAAAGTACAACAGTATGAGTCATACTTCCCATAAAACCTAGCGGGCAAATAGGGAAATGGTTCCAGTCGTTTTTCCAGTCGTTTTCCCATAGGGGATTTCCGAAACCCTTAAAATAAGGGCTATGTTTCGTGTAGGCTTATCCTGGCGTGACATTTTCATAACCATGTAAATCTCTCTCGGACAAGGTGACTTTTATCACTATATTCGCCTGTATTTAGCCCAAACAAATGAAATGCTAATTAGCTGCTAATGTTGCTATCATAAAGAACTACAAATGCCATGATGATCTGGACGAGATTGCCAACTCGAAATAAAGGTAAGAATCTCTGGATTAACTATCTAATGTTAGCTAAATGTAGTAATAAATAAATTGGCTACATTTCTTAAAATGTACCTGTTAGCAAAGGTGCCAGCTAGAGATGACGTGTAGGAGCTTGCAGGGATTTTTTGTCTTGCATGATGTCTACTTTGATGCTAATTAGCATTTTCAAATCTGAGAGTAAATAGAACCAAATATATTGATAAAAGTCACCTTGTCCAAGAGAGATTTACATTTACATTTACATCATTTAGGGGGGGGGGGGGGGGGGGGGAGAAGGATTACTTTATACTATTCCAGGTATTCCTTAAAGAGGTAGGGTTTCAAGTGTCTCCGGAAGGTGGTCAGTGACTCCGCTGTCCTGGCGTCGTGGGGGAGCTTGTTCCACCATTGGGGTGCCAGAGCAGCAAATAGCTTTGACTGGGCTGAGCGGGAACTGTGAGGTAGGGGAGCTAGCAGGCCAGAGGTGGATGAACGTAGTGCCCTCGTTTGGGTGTAGGGTCTGATCAGAGCCTGAAGGTAAGGAGGTGCCGTTCCCCTCACAGCTCCGTAGGCAAGCACCATGGTCTTGTAGTAGATGCGAGCCTCAACTGGAAGCCAGTGGAGTGTGCGGAGGAGCGGGGTGACATGAGAGAACTTGGGAAGGTTGAACACCAGACGGGCTGCAGCGTTCTGGATTAGTTGTAGGGATTTAATGGCACAGGCAGGGAGCCCAGCCAACAGCAAGTTGCAGTAATCCAGACGGGAGATGACAAGTGCCTGGATTAGGATCTGTGCCGCTTTCTGTGTAAGGTAGGGCCGTACTCTGCGAATGTTGTAGAGCATGAACCTGCAGGATCGGGTCACCGCTTTGATGTTAGCGGAGAACGACAGGGTGTTGTCCAGGGTCACGCCAAGGTTCTTTGCACTCTGGGAGGAGGACACAATGTAGTTGTCAACCGTGATGGCGAGATCATGGAGCGGGCAGTCCTTCCCCGGGAAGAAGAGCAGCTCCGTCTTGTCAAGGTTCAGCTTGAGGTGGTGATCTGACATCCACACTGATATGTCTGCCAGACATGCAGAGATGCGTTTCGCCACCTGGTTATCAGAAGGGGGAAAGGAGAAAATTAATTGTGTGTCGTCTGCGTAGCAATGATAGGAGAGACCATGTGAGGATATGACAGAGCCAAGTGACTTGGTGTATAGAGAGAATAGGAGAGGGCCTAGAACTGAGCCCTGGGGGACACCAGTGGTGAGAGCACGTGGTGCGGAGACAGATTCTCGCCACGCCACCTGGTAGAAGTGACCTGTCAGGTAGGACGCAATCCAAAAGTGAGCAGCGCCAGAGATGCCCAACTCGGAGAGGGTGGCGAGGAGGATCTGATGGTTCACAGTATCAAAGGCAGCGGATAGGTCTAGAAGGATAAGAGGAGAGAGAGTTAGCTTTAGCAGTGCGGAGAGCCTCCGTGACACAGAGAAGAGCAGTCTCAGTTGAATGACCAGTCTTGAAACCTGACTGGTTTGGATCAAGAAGGTCATTCTGAGAGAGATAGCAGGAGAGTTGGCTAGAGACGGCACGCTCAAGAGTTTTGGAGAGAAAAGAAAGAAGGGATACTGGTCTGTAGTTGTTGACATCGGACGGATCGAGTGTAGGTTTTTTGAAGAGGGGTGCAACTCTCGCTCTCTTGAAGACCAAAGGGACATGGCCAGCGGTCAAGGATGAGTTGATGAGCGAGGTGAGGTAAGGGAGAAGGTCTCCGGAAATGGTCTGGAGAAGAGAGGAGGGGATAGGCTCAAGCGGGCAGGTTGTTGGGCGGCCGGCCGTCACAAGTCGCAAGATTTCATCTGGAGAGAGAGGGAAGAAAGAAGTCAAAGCATAGGGTAGGGCAGTGTGAGCAGGACCAGCGGTGTCATTTGACTTAATAAATGAGGATCGGATGTCGTCAACCTTCTTATCAAAATGGTTGACGAAGTCATCCACAGACAGGGAGGAGGGAGGGGGAGGAGGAGGAGGATTCAGCAGGGAGGAGAAGGTGGCAAAGAGCTTCCTAGGGTTAGAGGCAGAGGCTTTAAATTTAGAGTGATAGAAAGTGGCTTTAGCAACGGAAACAGAGGAAGAGAATGTAGAGAGGAGGGAGTGAAAAGATGACAGGTCCGCAGGGAGTCTAGTTTTCCTCCATTTCTGCTCGGCTGCCCGGAGCCCTCTTCTGTGAGCTCGCAATGAGTCGTCAAGCCACGGAGCAGGAGGGGAGGACCGAGCCGGCCGGGAGGATAGGGGACATAGAGAGTCAAAAGATGCAGAAAGGGAGGAGAGGAGGGTTGAGGAGGCAGAATCAGGAGATCGGAGGGAGAAGGATTTAGCAGAGGGAAGAGATGATAGGATGGAAGAGGAGAGAGTAGCAGGAGAGAGAGAGCGAAGGTTGCGACGGCACATTACCATCGGAGTAGGGGAAGAGTGAGTAGTGTTGGAGGAGAGCGAGAGAGAAAAGGATACAAAGTAGTGGTCGGAGACTTGGAGGGGAGTTGCAGTGAGATTGGTAGAAGAACAGCATCTAGTAAAGATGAGGTCAAGCGTATTGCCTGCCTTGTGAGTAGGGGGGGACGGTGAGAGGGTGAGGTCAAAAGAGGAAAGGAGTGGAAAGAAGGAGGCAGAGAGAAATTAGTCAAAGGCAGACGTAGGGAGGTTAAAGTCACCCAGAACACTGAGGGGTGAGCCATCCTCAGGAAAGGAACTTATCAAGGCGTCAAGCTCATTGATGAACTCTCCAAGGGTACCTGGAGGGCGATAAATGACAAGGATGTTAAGCTTGAATGGGCTAGTGACTGTGACAGCATGGTATTCAAATGAGGAGATAGACAGATGGGTCAGGGGAAAAAGAGAGAATGTCCACTTGGGAGAGATGAGGATTCCTGTGCCACTGCCGCGCTGACCAGATGCTCTCGGGGTATGCGAGAACACATGGTCAGACGAGGAAAGAGCAGTAGGAGTAGCAGTGTTTTCTGTGGTAATCCATGTTTCCGTCAGCGCCAAGAAGTCGAGGGAATGCCAGCCTCCAATAACATGGTTTAGCACCAATACTCGGTTACAACAAACCACCAGTGTGTTAACACGCCAAACAGATCATTCGTGTCCGTGTCTAACGTTGTGTAAAGTTTTGGATTAGTTTTGACAGTTTGAGTGAGTACGTCGTCAACTTATTCAGCCATTTAGTTAGCTAGAATAGTTAGCATACTAGCTAGCCATTGCTCTCTGCCAACGAACCAACCCCTCCTCCCACGACACAAACACACAGAGAGAGCCAAGCTAACGTTAACTAGTCACCAATGTCTCGAATTCCCTTGAACGACTCTGGTTACCAGTATGTAAAAACAAAACAATGGTTATCAAAACATCACGCCAGGGTAAGCCTACACAAAACACAGCCCTTATTTTAAGTGTTTATAAAATCTCCTATGGGAAAAATGAATGGTGGAAAACGATTGGAACCATTTACCTGTTTGACCACTAGGTTTTATGGGTATTATGACACCTCTACCGTGGGGCTCTATCATATTCAACGCATTGCTGAGCGCATATAGCAAAGAGTAGGCCTAGGCTATATCAGATACATTTCTTCTGTCTTTGCACGGGAAAATGCGGCCTTTTATAAACACATTTCATGCAATTCTACTATATGACTGGAGACATTAGCAGAATATTTTTTAATACTACAAATTACAGGGAAGCCTACTCTGCTGACACTGACAAATAGATCAATAAAAACGACATTGTCCATAGGCCTATGAGAAGGAGAGACACAAATAGAATATGATTTCCATCTAAACTGGAGGAGGATATTATTGTCCATAAACAATATTTTAAGTGGCACTGACCCAACAATGATAAAGAGTGAATATGCGCAGTGCGCACTAACCGGGGCCTGCGGATGCTCTCGGCTGGTGCCAAGATAGGCTAGTGTTGTTCGCTCAATTAAGTTGAGAATTTTGGTGACTAAAAGACAAATTAGAGTCTTCTCTTTACAGCAATAGCCATTTGCTTCCCAAACTATGTTTTTCTCCGATATGCCTGGCTGGGCCTCTCCACTTTTCACTGAGAGTCGCAACTCAACAATCATCTATCTGATATTTTCCGTGCAGACTTTCCTTCCAACTGTAGGCAATGCCATTTAAAATAATCCACAATTATTACTTTTTTAAGAAGCTAATGATCCTCTGTGGCCAAATCATGCTTTAGTAGCCTATTTTGAATGGTTTTATTTATTTCTGTATAGACAGGATTAGGCTAATTAGGCTATCTAATTTTGGCAAATTAATTGGAATAAGTTTGACACGTGCTGTAGGGTTTGGCTTGGCTTCTCAGGTAGACATCACCGTCAGGCAGACCCGGCACTAGAACGAATCAATTGGACGGGCCTTTGATTTCCACAGGTGGGCCCGTCTTTTCACGGGACCTTCTGTGTGCACGCGCTTGCACGAAACAGAATATAATTTTCAGGTACATTTTGTGAAACCCTTGGCGATCTCTCTCCCCACGTAAACCAGAGACTCTATTGATTTTATCTCTTGAAATCTGTGGACTATATACCAGAACATTCTATTCTGTGTACTTTTGATGTTACCAGTCTATATACTAAGATCCCTCATCAGGGCGGCCTAGAGGCCCTCAAGTTCTACCTCAATGAACGTCCCCCTAATGATCTTCCCAGAACCAATTGAATTGTGGACTTGGCTGAACTGGAATTAACCTCCAACTATTTTCTCTTCAGAGGTGTTAGATTAATTTATATTTTAAGAATAATGACTAAAGGATTTCACCCCAAATACAGTATAAATGTGTAAACTGTGTTAGAATTATAATGTAGTGTCAACCCACTAACAGAGGGGGGTGGGACTAAACATTCCAGGGTGAAGGAGAAAGGTGGAAACTGTTTAAGAAAGCCTCCTAAAGGTGGGCGGAGCAAAGTGCCTTTGTGTGTCAAGGGGTATAAAACAGGAGTGTATGGGTTTTGGCGCCAGAGCTCTCCATGAATAAAAATACAGATCATTCTTGCTGGTTGTGGACCTTGAATCATTTATGATTAAAACCAGAGCCTTACAACCTCTGGTAATGATTCAAGCTTAGGTTTGAATTAGAGATATCAATTCTCGTGACAGAGGATAGCGATGGGGAGCACTATGGCTCCTAATTGTGCTAACCTATATCTAGGAATGTTTGAAAAACAGGTGGTGCTGAATCCAGACCTTAACCCCTTTCTCTCCAATATTCTCCTAATTCTGAGATATTTGGATGACATTTTCGTGATCTATACAGGGACCCAGGAAGAACTCTTGGAATTCCATGCCTATCTAAACTCTATGAATGAACACCTTCGTTTCACCATTAACTATGACCTATCCCAAATCAGTTTTCTTGATGTGATGGTTATTAAGGATAAAACCTCCCTCTCTATAGGAAACCTATGGACAGGAACACACTCCTTAGAGGTGACAGCTTTCATCCACATCCACTTATTAAAAGTCTCCCTATAAGTCAATTCAGTCGCATCAGAAGAATATGCAGCTCTGATGCTTCTTATCAGAAACAGACCACGGACCTCACACAAAGGTTTAAGGAAAGGGGGTACAAAGACAATTGGGTAAAACATGCCAATGATCATTTTGAAGGGCTAACACAGCTGGAAAGCCTTCAACCAAAAGTTAAAGAAAAATAAAAACATGTCCCTTCATGCTTCACCCAATACTCACCATTGGGTAAGGCATTTAAGGACATTATTAGAAAGCACTGGTACATTATTGATACTGACCCACAATTGAAACCCATCATTAAATATCCCCCACGTATGGTCTTTAAAAGACCCCCAAACGTGAGAGACATTGTGTTCAAATCTGATTATCCACCAGAGAAAGGAAAACTTTCTTGGACAAGGTTCCGGAGGGTAATTACAAATGTGGCCAATGTGCTCAATGCAGTTTCACCCCCTCACACGCCTGATTACCTGCATGTCCACCAATGTTGTTTACATGTTGAAATGTCCTTGTGGTCTGTCTTACATAGGGAAACCCCGTAGAAGCCTTAAGACCCGGATCAGTGAGCACCGCAGCAATATACAGACAGCTGAGACCATTAAACCTGGTTGCTGTTCATTTTGTACAAGCTGGAAATCCTATTAGTTCTCTGAGATACATTGGAATAGAAATGGTCAAGATGTCACAGATGTCACAGATGTCACGCAGGGGGAGGGGACGCTGAGATGAAACTTCTTCAAAGGGAATCTTTCTGGATCCACAGGCTCAACACACTGTCTCCTCTTGGCCTTAATGAGGAGTTTGACTTAAAACTGTTTTTATAGTTTCAAAATGTCCAAATTATTGTGCTTTCTATCCTAATTGAATATTGTGTATATACATTACTGTAAATATTGATCACATTCCTTGTGTATGATCATATATTTTGATACATTGAATGTTAATATTGTGAACCTATGTTATATATTTGTACCTCCTGTTTCAGGAAGTAATGTCACTGAGAACTGCCCCTATATATAGGACCTTCCACCCCCACCTGGGATATGGATGCCAGATGAAGACCTAATGGTCGAAACGTTGTTATAAATAAATATCACCTGGGAGCTGGGAGCATGAGCAGCAGTGTGCAGCGTTTTCCTTTCTGTTTTCCATGAATTTGCCTACAACTCCAGCACCTGCGGAAAGTACCTGGATGTGCGTTTGTTCTTCAGCTTTTGTACATGCTGTGGGCTGTCATGATGTTGTTGATGTCAGAGCGGATGTAGGAATGAAAGGCTTGAGAGGACCAGTGGCTGAGGAGTTGTAAGGTGTGGTCTTGGATGCCGTGTCGGGATGCCATGGAGAAGGCTCTGATGCGGAAGGAGTGTCCGGAGAATTGGTCAGCAGGATAGCCGGACAGGGATAGTATTTGTCTGAGATGGGAATGGAACCATTAGCGAGAGGTGATGGAACCAGAATTGGTGATGAACAGTGGATCGAATGGAGAGGCATGTTGAGATTGTCTGAACTGCAGGATGTAGGTGAGTGGTCCATAAGGGCTGATGGTAGATGGTAGTCGGAACAGGTAGACTGGTGTGGTTCTGCCAAATTGATAGGTTTGCTGTGTTTGATGGTGAAGATGAGGGTATCTTTGTTGAGGATGGTGACGTCTGCTGGGATGACGAGAAGGGTTGTAGATAGCATATGAGGATGTAAACTCCGAACATAGCAGGAATCCCAAAAACCCCAAAGAAACATTTAATCTAGTGTGGAAAAGACTGTGATGGAGATGTAACCAGACCACAGAGTCTGGATGCAGGCAGACAGGATGTCGAGTGTGATGGGCTGGCAGCGAGGGGGTGTCGGACTTCGGTGTGTTGGAGGCCCTTGAGGAGAAGGGAGACTTGCGGGTGAGAGGAGGAGGAACATAGAGACCCAGTAAGCAACTTGAGAAAGAAGTTGATCCCGGCCAGGTATGTCCGGATTGGAGGATGTCTACATGGAGAGGGATGAGCTGGCATGGGTGATGAAGGCAGACATGGTGACCAAGTTGTTGGAGGGAAAAGGCAGGTGATAGATGGTATGGAAACGCTGGAAGCATCTCCAGGCTGTCCAGCAACAGGACATGGTACTTGATGCAACGACTGATAGGATGGAATGGCGTGACTGGGAGATGAGGCGAAGTAGTGGATGGTTCACAGGAAGGTCATCATGGAATAAGGAGGAACTGAGGATGGTAGGGTTCTGTATACGAATAGGGTTCTGCATACTATTGTTGGGTCCTATTTTGTGTAGAGAAGGGGATGTTGAGGAAAATATATAATGACTAGTGAACAGTCAAACATTTGTTTTAATAAGCCTGATAAACAAATGCAGCATTTGAATTGAACATCCCATCTCCCTTTCATCCAGAGCCTCCCCTCCTAGAGTGAGGAGAAGATACAGTAGACATTCCTAGAGAGATCAGAGGAACCTGCCTTTAGGTCCCCAGAGATATTGGCTCCTGCCAGGATCTCTGTTGCTGAGGCGAAGAAGATGGAGAACAAGCCAAAGAATGGTCCCAACTATGTAATTAGCCAAGGGCACAAAGATGACAAATAAGAAGGGAACCTGGGACTGTAGTTGGTAAAGAACACTCACTTCAAACACAATGCACCACAAGACATAGCTAGAGACATAGTTAGAGGCTCACGAAAAACACCTCAAACAAATTGAATACAAAATACTTACATAATAAAATTGAAGTTAATTTAAATTACACCTCACTTCTCTATTTCTCCTACATATTGAAACCAGGCATGTACTGTAATTTATTTAGAAAGATTGCCCCCTAGTGGCAGGTTAAACTGACCTTGGACTCCCATTCCATCCCAGCCAATGAGATGGCCAGCAGACATGTGACAGTGATCACAGGTGGGAAGTTTGGGGGACAAATTAAAACAAGAGTACAGTTAAAAAATGTAACTCAATTTAAAAGGTTGACTATAAGGGATGTGGGTAAAGGCCTAAGTGATAACACACTGACTTGCCTTAGTGCTTGCACAGTCTCTGTGAAGCCCACTGTGTGCATGGCAACAGCCACAGCATTTGCAAAGGCAAAGATGAGTCTGATGGAGCTGTCCAGCTCTGGACCCAGGGAAGATCTCAATTGCACACTCATCGTGTCCTATCTCCTCGCTCCTCGTCTCCTTCTCAAAACCCATTGGAGGAGAAGGTCAGAGGGGAGGGACCTCTGACTTTCTCAGTCAATGGGTTTTGAGAAGGAGACAAGGAGAGAGGACGCAATTGAGATCTTCCCCCAGACTACGAGAAGTCAGGAAGTAGGTTCCACATGTAAGAGGGCCAGAAGACCTTTTAGATCTTTTGAATAAAGACTCTATAATAGTCTCGCCCGTTGCCTCTCATCCAGAACTCTCAGCAACTGCGTTTTTTATCAACGCTGTCCAGGATCCTGAACCTGTCAGAATACAGGTAAAACAGTTCAGTGCCAATTAGAGGCCAGTGCCTGAGATGATAAACAAATCTTATAAGCAAGCCTATAGCGCGCACTTTTGTTCAGGCAACGCCTCCACATATAAGCATTAGCCTATGAATGTCATCATGAGCGGACATAACCGGTGCCCCCACACATTGACTCTGTACCGGTACCTCACTACTGTTATTTTACTGCTTTTATTTTTTACTTAACACTTATTGTTCTTAAAACTGCATTGTTGGTTATGGGCTTGTAAGTAAGCATTTCACTGTAAGGTCTACACCTGTTGTATTCGGCGCATGTGACAAATAACATTTGATTTGATTTGATTTGACATATAGGAGCTTAGTATAGGCCTAAATATATGAGCTGAGGCTGTTCTGATTTAACAAGGGATTATCAGTGGGGAAGTCCACGAATCCCACGAAGACGCATTAAACCATATAGCTGCACCGTGTCCTATAGCTTACGGACGGTAAATCATTGGATCGATGAATTTGTTTCAATGCAATTTTGTTTAAGTATAGGCCTATAACAATTTGCAACAAAAATACATTGTCACAAAATAGCTTTACATGATTTAGCCCATCCAACGATGACATAGTCTATAGGCCTATGTGATCCGTCTTTAGCGGGCATACACCCTAAATCAAAGTAGCATTTGAGTCCAGCCTCAAGTGGGCCAGATGCATAGTTGTCAATAGGCCTATGGACACATTACCGCTTGACCAACACCACTGGTATAGAGACGGACACCATGGACTACTGCATAAACCCCATCCTCAATCATTAATTTCACTAAATGGATTGGCTATACTTTTGGCCTATTCAATTGTACCATGTAAAGTGTTGGTACCATGTTTCATGAGTTGAAATAAAATATCCCAGAAATGTTCCATATGTACAAAAAGCTTATTTCTCTCAAATGTTCTGCATAAATGTGTTTACATCCCTGTTAGTGAGCATTTCTCCTTTGCCAAGATAATCCATCCACCTGACAGGTGTGGCATATCAAGAAGCTGATTAGACAGCATGATCATTACACAGGTGCACCTTGTGCTGGGGACAATAAAAGGCCACTCTAAAATGTGCAGTTTTGTCACACAGCACAATGCCACAGATGTTGTGCCATTCATCCTCCGCCATCACCTCATGTTTCAGCATGATAATGCACAGCCCCATGTCGCAATGATCTGTACACAATTCCTGGAAGCTGAAAATGTCCCAGTTCTTCCATGGCCTGCATACTCACCAGACATGTCACCCATTGAGCATGTTTGGGATGCTCTGGATCGACGTGTTACGACAGTGTGTTCCAGTTCCGCCAATATTCAGCAACTTCGCACAGCCATTGAAGAGGAGTGGGACAACATTCCACAGGCCACAATCAACAGCCTGATCAACTCTATGTGAAGGAGATGTGTCGCGCTGCATGAGGCAAATGGTGGTCACACCAGATACTGACTGTTTTTCTGATCCACGCCCCTACCTTTTTTTTAATGCATCTGTGACCAACAGCTGCATATCTGTATTCCCAGTCATGTGAAATTCATAGATTAGGGCCCAATTCGTTTATTTCAATTGACTGATTTCCTTATATGAACTGTATTGAAGAATGTTGTGTTTATATTATTGTTCAGTATATATACAGTAACTAGCCCTGTATTCTTCGTTTTTCTTTTTCTGATGACGTGTCCATCCCCAAGGACCTGGAGAAAACTCCCCACTAAGTTGCAGCGGGTTGGTCGGCTTATTGAGGGAGACACATGGTCGAGCAGTCTGAGTATCTCCTCTCGTGGGACCCTGTACTTCTGCCCCATCATTGTGAGTCTGCAATGGGCTCAGTATGTTGACAATATGCGCATTTAAATACACCAACCCGCGCCGCCGGTTATGTTGGAGAGCAACAATCTGCTGAATAGCAGCCATATGCTGTATTATTGTTGTTCTGCTGACGTCTGACAATGGCTTGGCATTTATAGTGTTCCAAGTCTTTCCAATTTGTACCGGATAAGATTCAGCCTAACGGTGCACTTTGGCTGCTCTGAGTGGTCTGGATCACTCGTAGATATGCAAGGGTTTTAAGAGCCACGTTACTAACGAAAGCTCTGGGAAACACCTCCGCTACTAAAGATGTAAGATGGTTCTAACGATGATTTTAACGCTATACGAAGGATCTGGAAAACGAGGCACAGGGCTCGGTTTGCCAAAAGCATCTTAAGGCTAAGTTAATCGTTAGAACCATTCTAACGATGAACCAAGATGATTTTGAGAAACCGGGCCCTGGTCTTTACGCACGGTTGCGCATCGGAGTTTCAAAGGACTATAGGTCCGTGGACAGAGCTGTTTTTGATATCTTACCTTATTATTGATGTAGTTTATAGGCTCATCACAAATGGCCAGATCCTGACATAGGCAACACTAAAAACAGTTCTCCATGGGTCATGACCACTGTATAGATCATTGGTCATGACGCGCGAATTTCACAGTACAGCGGCTGACTGCTCATGTGGTCATGTTGTCTAAATTCGTAGGCACTGAAGCTTGTGGTGATCGGTGGCATTTTATAGAGCCTATCCACAATTATGTAGGTTACAGGTTAGTCGTTAAGGTTGTAAAAGTTGTGGAAGTGACTGTCTCACTGACCTAGACCAATTTGGACTCAGGACTGGTCACATGACCCACTACAGTGACTGTCAACCATCAAATCATTGGAATGAGATTTAAAAAAAATATATATATATATATAAATAACGTTTTTCTGTATTCGATTTCATATGCATATCAAAAACATAAAGAAAGACCCATTTATCATTTTATGTGTAGTCAGGAAGCCTAATTGGCCTAATTGGCCAAAACATACAGTGCAAATGTTGAACCAGAACCGATAATTAAAAACACAACATTTGAATAATCAAATCATTATTCCGTTTCTCTTTATTTAATATTTCCTTTAGACAATAAAAACAAAAAACAAAACCGTTTATGTGTTGTTTGATTTCGGATTTAAATCAAATTAATGAGGAACGACCCTTTACTCGTTTTTTATCTTGTCATCTAATAGGAAATATTAATTGGCCAAAAAGTACACGGACCGTTCACCCAATATACAGTACTGGTTGGTGACATTTTTTCAAATCCTATGTATTTTCCACGTTGATTCCACATCACAATACGTTAACAAATTACGTTGAAACAATCAGTTGATTCAACCAATGTGTGCCCAGTGGGATGTTGTGCCAGCAGCCCTTTCATTGAGTTTCTCATTAACTTGCACATTTGAGCATACCACAATACAGCTGACCCTGCAGACAAGTCTTGGTACAGAAACCTCACTATTCAAAACTCTTGATCCCCCTGACTGCATTTGGGCCAGAATGTAACTTTGTTTTGTTTTATTAATTATATCCTGAAAACATTGCTTTATAACAAATGATCATTTACTTACCTCCTGGAATCCCAACAAGTATAGTGTTTTTGTCTCATTGGGGCATAATTGCATTTACATTTACATTTACGCATTGCTAAACCTGACACAAAATTAAGTAAAAACTCACAATATCATTAAACATGTTTAATCAAATGCTTGTACATGTCATTGAAATCAAAATCACAGCAGACATTTCATCAGGTGAATTGTAGGAACTCTAGCAGGTAATTTGATCTTCAGCTCCTCAAAGCTGCTTCTGTTGCTTGCCCTTGGCATCTCGTTGGCAGTGGTGTAGTGCCACCCTGGTGTTGTGAAATAGCCGGGTTATAGCGGGTGTGTGGCATCGGCCTGATTCACAACACCAGCTGCAGCACACACACCTTCGGGTGGATCCACCATGGCAGACAGGGAGCTCCGGGTCCATGTCTTCTCCATAGAGAGCTCCAGACTGATCTTCTGTAGAGCAGGGTGTGATGTGGTGCAAAGTAAAAGCACCATTTCAATAACAAAGGAAAGAGGACCATAGTCCGAGGAGGTAACTAACTCCAGCACAGATCCAATGATGGTAAGGGCTGTGAGTAAATAGTTAAAGCACTGCAGTAAAAGAGCATGCACAGTCAAGTTTGATTCTCTCCATAATGAACACAAGTCCCCTGTGGTGACAATGGGTTAAGTTTGAGAGGAACGGCTTCAACAATCTAGTGCATCCAAGTGAAGCAAAGACTCCCTTCTGTGTTCTCTCAGGGCATTTCCTTCCCTTCTAACCATCTGTCAATAAGTGCAGCAGTGTCACACATGACAGGGCCCATCACAACGTTCTTTCAATTTAGTTGTTATTACCTACTCTGTGGCATTTCTTCAGCTGCTGTGATATTATCGTAGTCATAAAAAAGTATGTTATCCAAAGAAACATATTGGCCTTTCTCGATGACTAGTAGCAAAGATGCATATCATTATCATTTAATTCCTTATAGAAAGCCACCAGCAGGGATACATTTAGTCTCTATGTGCCGTTCCATCAACTTAAGAGTATACAGTGGATGTTGAATTTTCGTTCTAGCACCACAAAATCTCATTATCAATGATTTCTCAAAATACCTTTTTTTAAATCGACTGTGGAGGTGGATTTTAATGTAGAACACACATCTTGTGAGTACATTAACTTTTTGCAAACTTTTGTTCTTCCTAGACCACTGGATTATGGCTAGTGCAAGGATTCCCAATTCCCTGTTGCTTCTTTGACTATAGGCAGCCATGGCTGAGGGATAGTTTGAGATTTTGGCAACCAAGCCCTTTTTTCTACTTACCCAGAGTCAGATTTTACATTTTAGTAATTTAGCAGACGCTCTTATCCAGAGCGATTTACAGTGAGTGCATACATTTTCAACTCAGGAATACGATTTTTATGTGTCTGCCTGCAGTTTGAGCAGCATGAGTTTATCTGACTCTGGGTAAGTAAAAAAGGTCTTAATTACCAAAAGTTTTAACTATCCCTTTTACCATAAAATTATTTGAAAAGGCAGAATTCATTTTAAAATCAATAATTCCAAATTAATCTAAGAGTAAAAAAATGTCCTTCAGTGTTTTCATTAAATCCAGGTAGTACTCATACCACTAATCATTTTATAGATGACCATGCATGATGCATAATAATGAAAAAACTATATAAGCAAACTGCAATACTAAATGCAAATGAATCAAATGATGGGTTTATAATTAAATGAATGCGTAAGAAATTAAATTGAACTGACATTTTATTTCAATTTATGAAAAAATACAAATATGGAGCAACATAAGGACAAAGAAATGGGAAAAATGGGGACAATGCCAAAGAAATTCAAAAAAATCAGACAGTTGATGAGAAGGGTGGGTATGGCTGGGGGTTGGGGGTATTTTGGAGTCAGTTCATTAGGACCTCCATCTGCACCAGCCGGGCATTGGTGTCGCCTGCCATGCGGTATGGGATAATCCCAGCAAACGTGATCAGTGCTCGAGCCTGGCTGCGCAGTTGCTGTTGACAAACACAGAAAAAGGCCAAAAGGGCATGTTAACATCTTAGAGCTGACAGTGAAATCAACCATGCGTGTCAAAACAGATAAAAACAAGACAAGACGGCACAGTACTCATTATTCAATGAAATATCACATAATAGAGCAGAGGCATGTCTTTACTGCCCAGTCCATCATAACACGTAGCCCCCAAAAGTCCCTCAAAGACTTAATAAAGTTCCTCCATTTTCATCCCATGGCCAGTATTGCCCTGAGAGGTCACCATCTCCTCACCGAGTCTCTGTCCTCCATGGATCTCTGTGGGCGACCAGGGGTTCCTGCTGCGGCGCCCTTCAGACGCTTGTACTGCATGAACAGGATGTTCATGGTGGCCAGGAGCACCGCCGACAAATTATGCCTGACCTGGAACAACATGCAAAGGACAATGCAGGTTAGACAGGGACCTTTGCCACCCAGAGCCCTGCGCTCCTTGGCCAGCTCATATACAGTGGGGAAAAAAAGTATTTAGTCAGCCACCAATTGTGCAAGTTCTCCCACTTAAAAAGATGAGAGAGGCCTGTAATTTTCATCATAGGTACATGTCAACTATGACAGACAAATTGAGAAAAAAAAATCCTGAAAATCACATTGTAGGATTTTTAATGAATTTATTTGCAAATTATGGTGGAAAATAAGTCTTTGGTCACCTACAAACAAGCAAGATTTCTGGCTCTCACAGACCTGTGACTTCTTCTTTAAGAGGCTCCTCTGTCCTCCACTCGTTACCTGTATTAATGGCACCTGTTTGAACTTGTTATCAGTATAAAAGACACCTATCCACAACCTCAAACAGTCACACTCCAAACTCCACTATGGCCAAGACCAAAGAGCTGTCAAAGGACACCAGAAACAAAATTGTAGACCTGCACCAGGCTGGGAAGACTGAATCTGCAATAGTTAAGCAGCTTGGTTTGAAGAAATCAACTGTGGGAGCAATTATTAGGAAATGGAAGACATACAAGACCACTGATAATCTCCCTCGATCTGGGGCTCCACGCAAGATCTCACCCCGTGGGGTCAAAATGATCACAAGAACGGTGAGCGAAAATCCCAGAACCACACGGGGGGGACCTAGTGAATGACCTGCAGAGAGCTGGGACCAAAGTAACAAAGCCTACCATCAGTAACACACTACGCCGCCAGGGACTCAAATCCTGCAGTGCAAGACGTGTCCAGCCAGTACATGTCCAGGCCGGTCTGAAGTTTGCTAGAGTGCATTTGGATGATCCAGAAGAGGATTGGGAGAATGTCATATGGTCAGATGAAACCAAAATAGAACTTTTTGGTAAAAACTCAACTCGTCGTGTTTGGAGGACAAAGAATGCTGAGTTGCATCCAAAGAACACCATACCTACTGTGAAGCATGGGGGTGGAAACATCATGCTTTGGGGCTGTTTTTCTGCAAAGGGACCAGGACGACTGATCCGTGTAAAGGAAAGAATGAATGGGGCCATGTATCGTGAGATTTTGAGTGAAAACCTCCTTCCATCAGCAAGGGCATTGAAGATGAAACGTGGCTGGGTCTTTCAGCATGACAATGATCCCAAACACACCGCCCGGGCAACGAAGGAGTGGCTTCGTAAGAAGCATTTCAAGGTCCTGGAGTGGCCTAGCCAGTCTCCAGATCTCAACCCCATAGAAAATCTTTGGAGGGAGTTGAAAGTCTGTGTTGCCCAGCGACAGCCCCAAAACATCACTGCTCTAGAGGAGATCTGCATGGAGGAATGGGCCAAAATACCAGCAACAGTGTGTGAAAACCTTGTGAAGACTTACAGAAATCGTTTGACCTGTGTCATTGCCAACAAAGGGTATATAACAAAGTATTGAGAAACTTTTGTTATTGACCAAATACTTATTTTCCACCATAATTTGCAAATAAATTCATTAAAAATCCTAGAATGTGATTTTCTGGATTTTTTTCCCTCATTTTGTCTGTCATAGTTGACGTGTACCTATGATGAAAATTACAGGCCTTTCTCATCTTTTTAAGTGGGAGAACTTGCACAATTGGTGGCTGACTAAATACTTTTTCCCCCACTGTAGTTTCACTGCTTCCTCAAACAGGCCCTTGTCCTCAAAGTTATACAGCTGCACCATTGAGAGCACCTTGACTGGCTGCATCACCGCTTGGGTATGGCAACTGCTTGACATCCGACCTCAAGGCGCTATAGAGGGTAGGTGCTTACGGCCCAGTACATCACTGGCGCCGAGCTCCCTGCTATCCAGAACTTCTATAGCAGGCGATGTCTGAGGAAGGCCCTACAAATGGTCAAAGACTCCAGCCACCCATGTCATAGACTGTTCCCTCTGCTACCGCACGGCAAGCAGTAAAGATGCACCAAGTCTGGAACCAACAGGAGGACCCTGAACAGCTTCTACCCACAAGCCATGAGACTGCTAAATAGTTTGTTAAATAGTTAACCAAATAGCTAACTGGACTATTGGCATTGACCCTTTTTGTACTAACTTTTTTGACTCATTACACATGCTGATGCTACTGTTTACTATCTGTCACATTTATTCCTAGTTATATGTACATATCTACCTAAATTACCTCGTACTCCTGCACATAGCATTTGTATCTATTACTTTTATTTTATTTTTTACATTTCTATAATTTCTCTATTTTCTTTCTCTCTGCATTGTTGGGAAGGGCTGTTAATAAGCATTTCACTGCTAGTCCACACCTGTTGTTTACGAAGCATGTGACCAATAACATTTAATTAAATTTGACAGTAGAAAAAAATGCTAAAAGATTACATGAACACTTTGGAAGTGTGGTGCTGCATACTGAGTGTAATTAGAGTGCAGTATCTCACCTCATCACTGAAATTACGGAATGCAGCAACCCTCTCCTCCACACTGTCCTGACTCAGAGGGACCAGCTTCAGTCTCTCCATCACCTGACATAAATGGAGAGAGAGAGAGAGAGAGAGAGAGAGAGACAGGGGAGAAGTTAGGGACAGTTAAAGAAGAGGTCATCATAACTACTATCAGTTCCATCTGAATAAACAGCATAGTAAGCCATCAGGCAGGAAGCCCTGGGTGTCAGACTCACATCATAGGCCTGATCTATGTGACCAACATGGTACTCATCAAAGAAGATCATGAGGTCCAGCAGCAGGTAGAAGGTGCTGTCCACAGACTTCTCTCCAGCAACACCCTGGGTCCGGTACCTGAGAACAAGACCACACACTGAAGAACTGAGCCTCAATGGTCCACTCGTCTTTTCTAACACAATTGCTTTCAGTAAGCCTATATGATGCAGTCAAACAAGATCTCATTTCAGTGGTAATGCAGAATGTAGATCATGTACAGTAAGTATGTAAGTGAGAGTAGGTGGCCAGGACGTTACCGCTCAGCGATGGCAACAGCAGTGTTCTTCAGTCTCTCCTTATTGGACTGGGTGGAGCCCACTTGGGCAATAAGAGGACTCAGCAGCCTGTTCATCAGCTCTAGGACTTTGTCTGGATTCTACAGATCAGAGAAGGAAAATAGAGGAATGTGAGGTGACATTTCATTCTTTTCTACTCTTCCTCTCTATCAACCCGGCCCATACCTTCACCTAGAGTAAACCCACTGACACAGCTTGACCCCAACCTTTGCCGCCCAAAGCCTTGCTCACCTTGGCCAGCTCATACAGTTTGACTGCTTCCTCAAACAGGCCCTTGTTCTCTGCCTCCAGCGCCACTTTTGTGATAATGGCTTGCGTGTCTCCGGCAAATTTATCAATCACTCCAGGCTGGGGGAGAAGCACATGGCACAATCAGCTCTTTGAACGGCCCGAATACACGTTCCGGAGTGCCGCGAGCACAATGGAAAAATCAGCAGCACCATGAATGCTTTCACAAACGGGATCATTATGAACTGTGAGTTAAATAACAATGAAGTGAATAACATTTAAAATATTCAAAGGATTTCAGATGGGTTTGAACTGAGAGTCTTCTCTGAAAACATACATTTATAATGAGTGAGAACAAAGGTGTGACCATTACCTTTCTGCTGCCATCTTTTTCCAGTCTTCCTAGAAGCATGTCAAACTCTCGACTCTCAATCACCAACTCGCTAACACAGCACATGAACATGTTCTCTCCTTGGCTGTTTTTTTCATTCCTGTGCCCAAAAGGAAGAGAGGATAGACAATCACATACAGTGCCTTACAAAAGTATTCATCCCCCTTGGTGTTTTTCCTATTTTGTTGCATTACAACCTGTAATTTAAATGGATTTTTATTTGGATTTCAAATTGGTGAAGTGAAACAAAATAAATAACGGAAAGGTGGTGCGTGCATATGTATTCACCCCCTTTGCTATGAAGCACATAAATAAGATCTGGTGCAACCAATTACCTTCAGAAGTCACATAATTAGTTAAATAAAGTCCACTTGTGTGCAATCTAAGTGCCACATTATCTCAGTACACCTGTTCTGAAAGGCCCCAGAATCTGCAACACCACTAAGCAAGGGGCACCACCAAGCAAGCGGCACCATGAAGACCAAGGAGCTCTCCAAACAGGTCAGGGACAAAGTTGTGGAGAAGTACAGATCAGGGTTGGGTTATTAAAAAATATCTGAAACTTTGAACATCCCACGGAGCACCATTAAATCCATTATTAAAAAATGGAAAGAATATGGCACTACATCAAACCTGCCAAGAGAGGGCCGCCCACCAAAACTCACGGACCAGGCAAGGAGGGCATTAATCAGAGAGGCAACAATGAGACCAAAGATAACCCTGAAGGAGCTGCAAAGCTCCACAGCGGAGATTGGAGTATCTGTCCATAGGACCACTTTAAGCCGAACACTCCACAGAGCTGGGCTTTACGGAAGAGTGGCCAGAAAAAATTAAGCAAACACATTTGGTGTTCGCCAAAAGGCATGTGGGAGACTCCCCAAACATATGGAAGGCGGCACTCTGGTCAGATGAGACTAAAATTGAGCTTTTTGGCCATCAAGGAAAACGCTATGTCTGGCGCAAACCCAACACCTCTCATCACCCCGAGAACACCATCCCCACAGTGAAGCATGGTGGTGGCAGCATCATGCTGCGCGGATGTTTTTCCATTGGCAGGGACTGGGAAACTGGTCAGAATTGAAGGAATGATGGATGAAGCTAAATACAGGGAAATTCTTGAGGGAAACCGGTTTAAGTCTTCCAGAGTCTTATTTCTTGTTTGTTTCACAATAAAACATATTTTGCATCTTCAAAGTGGTAGGCATGTTGTGTAAATCAAATGATACAAACCCCCAAAAAGGTTGTAAGGCAACAAAAAAGGAAAAATGCCAAGGGGGTGAATACTTTCGCAAGCCACTGTATTTGATATTCAAACTAAATTATTTGATACACATTACAGCTTTTAAATAACGATAGAGGTCTGAAGGCTCTAATCAAAACTCTTTATTCAATTTAACCCCAAAAGAAAGAGTAAATGACCCAACCAATGGCATGTGTGAAAGCCTCTGTATTATTCATGGTGAACTGGATTCATGGCCCACTGGCTTATACATAAGGCCTCATTTCTTCCATCACCCAGAAACCCCCTAACAGAGACTTCATTTTCCCTTTATACCGCCATGCCTCCAAGTGTTATTAGCACACAGTGGAGTGGTGGAGAGTTCTCCCCAACTGAGCGCAGCATCTCTTAGGAGGATGGCTGCAATGTAACTTAACATACCGTAGGAAGTAGAAGTACTGTAGAGCCTCCCGGGGGTCTGTGGACTCAAACTTGCGTGTGTAGAGCATGAGGAGACGGATGAAGTTGAGCCGTCGCACCATAGGGGGGTCCCCAGCCTCCTGACTCACTGAAATGTAGAAAAACATTCACTTATCAGTATCAGCTTCAAAACTACAAAAGGTGTGTGACTAGAAATTAAGCAAATGTAGAGGAAGTCAAACACGTAGCCTGACAGAGGGACTTACACAGTTGTGCGCTCTGTCCTGATGACTTGAGCAGCAGCCGTAACTCGTAGAGAACCAGAGCCACGTGAACAGCATGACTGCGTAGACGCTCCACCCGGAACAGGAAGGCCACAGCAGCCTCAAACTGGGCCGTTAGGAACAGCACCTGGAAGTACAGGAACGGCTGCTGGATGGCTGAGAAGTGAGACTCTCCTGCAGATAGGAGAGGCACAGAAATAAACTCAAAATCATTAGGATCACATTCACAACATGGGAAAGGGAATATAGAACATGCTAACTGAATATAGATGAATAGTCAGCAATGTATTTACTCAGCATTTCAAATACCAAAATTATTCCACTTCTACTACTTAGTCATCAACATCAACTTGCATTAATCCCTCTCAATAAAGTTCATGTTCAACTAAGTAGGAAGTAAACATGAATACATCAGCCATTTTGAAAGGCAGCAGGCTTATCTATGAGTCACAGTCACCTTTTATTGCACTGTGTTGAAATGAGCAAGATAACAAGCCATGACTCATCCTCCAGGTGGGAGAGCTTTGCCTCCTTATGTCTGATAAAACTTAAGAAAAGTTTAAGTCTTAAGAGTGAACAGTGAAGCACTCTTATCTGAGCAGAGCAGTTCCCAGGAGGGACTGGGAAGTGGTGCTATTACACAACTCTACTTTAATAGAGTCCTCCAGTCCTAGACAGTATTCTCTTTTAGAATTAGTATTTAAGGTCTATTTCTGTTCAATTTAGTAGTCTGGCTGTCATGTACCCAGCAGTGTTCTGAACTCACCATAGTCCTCTAGAAGCTGTTTCTGTAGCTGGGCCAGTGTCAGTCTGTCCTGAGGTGCACTGCTGCCGTCCTCATCGAAGCACACCTGGTTGAGCTGTGGGCATGGAGGAAGGGACAGGTCTACGTTAATGTGATGGTTAATTTACAACAGGCAACCCTATTTTACCTGATTCTCCCCAACTAGCACTATGAATCATGTACAGTGGTAAAATATTAATATCCTGACTCTACAGACTGGTCATCAGGCAAGCACCTTGAGCCACAGGTAGTCCTCGGTCTTGTCGGCCACCTCTCCATGGTTGTCTGCGATGTCACACTTCCCGATGTGGCAGTAGACGGCCCTCTTGTAGGGGTCAGCGCTGTTCCTCAGCACTCTGCGGTAGTGGAGACGCAGCTTGTTCTCTGTGGCAGGGGCCAAGCTGAGGAAAGGACACAGCACAGGTCAGACAGAGAGCAGTAGACAGAGAGCAGTAGACAGAGAGCAGTAGACAGAGAGCAGTAGACATAGATGGAGAGAAAATAAGTACTAAGCAGATTAGATTCATATGAGCAAAGCAATCACACTGGTGCTTGGTGTTCTGAGCCATAGTGTTACAGCACGTCAAATTGCAGGAGAAAGTGAAATGGAAAGCTAATCTGTTTAGACCAGTTTACTACACACAGTGGAGGTACATTATGTATGAGGTTCCTACCGTCTGTCAGGGCTGTTCATATATTCCTGGAACCAGGTCTTGAAGTCTCCCAGCTGGTGCTGAGCCCGGTTCACCACCTGCATGGCTGCCCCCAGGTCCCCACAGCGCAGGCAGTAATAGATCAGAGCCCAGACTGGGTGACCCTCCACTTCACCATCCTGTTATAACACACACACACAGCTGAGTTTACCTGCATGTATCTACACTTCACTTAGTAAAAATACCAACTGGAATAGTCCAGTGCTATGCAAGGCTGTGCACAGTGCTGATGTTGTCTCTAGCAGAATGTGCTGCAGTGTGGGGGCAGTAGTACCTGCATGCCTGGCAGAGGCCCTGGCAGTTTGATGTTGAGGAAGCTGCGGACCAGCTGATAGGTGCCAGGGACTCCGCCTAGCTGGGCCTGGTGCAAGTTCCCAAACACCGTCACCATGGTGTAGTTCTTGTAGCTGCCGTTGAGGGAACACAAAGAGAAACGTTAGTGGAGGGGTAACTACAGGAGTGTCGTTTTGTAATCCATTTAGGAAGTGTTCTCATTCTAATTCTACGGTTCTCTCCTCCTCTGACCTGTTCTCCAGAAACTGCAGGGCCTGCGTGACGAAAGCCATCTGCATGTCCACGGCCGTGCGGCTCTTCAGCGTGTCTTTGGCTGGGACCAGCAGCACGTCTGTCATCTGCTTCACCATCAGCCACATGTCTGTCACGTTCTGTAGAGACAAGCATATACACTCTTTCAGATATACACACTCATTTCCCAAATGTCCACAATTGGCCATTGGAGAATTTACCAACCCAGCGGAAGACAAATGTAGACAGAGACAAAGGTATGTGGAATGGTTCCGTGGAGCTTACCTTGTCATCTAGGCTGTCTGCCACTGAGGCACAGAGGTCTCCCAGGTTGGGCTGGACATGTCCGTTCACTATCTTCTCATTGAAGACGTAGATCTGAGGCAGAACAAAAGCAGAGAAACACTTAGAGATGGGTCAGAGGACAGACAGGTACTGACAGACTGAATGCTGTCCGTTTCAGCACTAAGACCAGGAAGCCCTGATCCGTGCCCTAGTCCCAGTCGTCCCCAGGGAACACTATGGCCGCATAGTGAAGTGATGGATGATGAAAAACAAGACAAAAAGGATGAAAACGTTCAGGAGGTCATCAAAGAAGATCACAAAGACCAGCATGATGACACCGCAGGCGATATGGCGACACATTCTGTCCTCTTTAACCAGTGGACTAAAACTCTGGTGTATATCGAGTGACTGGGGAGGACGAGACAGAGACAGGCTGTCCTACCCCCGTGCAATGGGGCAGATAAATTACCCAGCATGCCCGGGCTCTGCCAGCTAATCAATTCTTTGATCTATTGCTGCCTTGCTTAGCATGACCCCATTACTACGACGTGAAGTGCACTACAGTGCAGCTGCATCCTGACTGAGGCTGTGCATCCATTCAGCCCAGGAGGTTCCAGGGCACTTAGCCCCAGGCTGACTGGATGTATTACAGCCTATTAAAGTCTAATATCTTCACATAGGGAAATGTATAAAATACACGAGAGAGAACGGCTTTGGTGACTCACATCTTTGAACATTTGAAATGAGACTAATTGTAGACTGAACTTCCCTTTTGGCCTATGTACTGTAGGTATCTCACGCTAAGTGGTGCTGCAGTGTAATCAGCGTCAGGCCAAATTACTAACCTGTCGTCCATAGGCTACCTCGACGCTGTCAAGAGCACTCCGCCCAGGAGTCCCTGCGTCACTCACAAAGCTGGGCTGCAACACAAACACACAGGGAGACGATACATGACAAGTGATTTTACTGAATCTCAAATAGAAAGCTGCCCTGAGAGGAAAGGGTAAACCTAAAAAATTGTGAATAAAAGTGTGTAGCTATGTGATGGCAAGATAACCCAAGGGTTATCACAATCTTTGTTGCTCATAATTGTAGTCCAATGTCGCGTGGAAGCCATAGTGAACAAAGCTCATGGTTGAATGCACTCGCATTCTAAAATGCATGCACGTACACGCATAAACATTTATCCAGATCAACCATGTATTCTTGAGAACAAAAAGGGACACACCCATACAATGTATATTACATGTATAGGGCAGTATAAATGCTGTATGAGACATGGCATTATAAGAGAAGAGAGCATAGACAGCAACAACTGAACACAGTAGAGGGTGTGTTTCTGGCATAGGGGGTGAACAGCAGGTCAGAAATGTAAAATGTAACTGTTGGTTAATAATTCAATAAGCACAGAGAAGGACAAAATCCCTCCAAATCAACTCTAACACACACTCCACAGGACAATGTGTAAGAACTAAAGTTAGGAAATTGTGATTAGCACAGCAATTTTCCTACTATACTAAATAGCTGGAGCCCTGAAGGTTATCTAAACAAAGCTACATAAAACCAACCTTGCTTTGGTAAAGACTGATAACACTTATTAAAAACAGGAGTGCTTGCCATTTCTAAAAAATATTTTAAAAAGAATGATAAAAAAAAAAAAAAAATCAGCAACATCCATGTGGGTTAGTAATTTTTTTTGATGAGTGCATATTTATCTCAATGCGGTCAAGTCATATATTATACGTATATAGATTATATCTGGATGTGTGCTTTATGCACTGGCGTTAATAGGGTTTATAGGACAAAGATAGACATCAGATGGAGAGACACTGACCTCTACGTCTTGGCTGAAGTCCAGAGCATCCTCCCCTGCTCCCAGCAAGGTGTGCAGTACTCTCTGCTTCACCTGCTCCCACTGAACCAGCATGGACTCACGGTGGTACTCCTCTGCCAGGAGGAACGTCTGACAGGGGACAAGAAAAGAGAACACGTAAGTACGAAGAGAGAGAGAACAAATTTAATTTGGACAGACCAATTTGAAAATAATTGAGAGAACCAGGCTAGGCTGCATAAATGGGTTAGAAACCATGTGATTGGTTTAAAATAGCCAACGCTGCAAAACCTCTCGCCATGGGAGATGCAGTGCCTTCAGAAAGTATTCACACCCCTCGATTTCTTCCACATTTTGTTGTGTTACAACCTGAATTTAAAATGAGTTAAATTGAGATTTTGTGTGACTGGCCAACACACAATACCCCACCCATAATGTCAAAGTGGAATTATGTTTTTAGATATTCATTTTTTATTAAATTTGTAAAAGCTGAAATGTCTTGAGTCAATAAGTATTCAACCCTTTTGTTATGGCAAGCCTAAATAAAATGTGCTTAACAAGTCACATAATAAGTTGCATGGACTCATTCTGTGTGCAATAGTGTTTAACATGATTTTTGAATGACTACCTCATCTCTGTACCCCACACATACAATTATCTGTAAGGTCCCTCGGTCGAGCAGTGAATTTCAAACACAGATTCAACCAAAGGCCAGGGAGGGTTTCCAATGCCTCGCAAAGGGTGGCATATATTGGTAGATGGGTAAAAATAAAAAAGCAGACATTCAATATCTCTTTGAGCATGTTTAAGTTATTAATTACACTTTGGATGGTGTATCAATACACCCAGTCACTACAAAGATACAGGCGTCCTAACTCAGTTGCAGGAGAGGAAGGAAACCGCTCAGCGATTTCACCATGAGGCCAATGGTGACATTAAAGAAAGGTTAGAGTTTAATGGCTGTGATAGGAGAAAACTGAGGATGGATCGACAACATTGTAGTTACTCCACAATACTAACCTAAATGACAGAGCGAAAAGAAGGAAGCCTGTATAGAATCAAAATATTCCAAAACATGCATCCTGTTTGCAATAAGGCACTAAAGTAAAAATGCAAAATATGTGGCAAAGAAATTAACTTTATGTCCTTGGGGCAAATCCAACAACATATCACTGACTACCACTCTTCATATTTTCAAGCATGGTGGTGGCTGCATCATGTTATGGGTATGCTTGTCATTGGCAAGGACTAGGGAGTTTTTTAGGATAAAAAGAAACGGAATAGAGATAAGCACAGGCAAAATCCTAGAGGAAACCTGGTTCAGTCTGCTTTCCAAATTCACCTTTCTGCAGGTCAATAACCTACAACAAGGCCAAATATACACTGGAGTTGCTTTCCAAGACAACCTTAAATGTTCCTGAGTGGCCTAGTTACAGTTTTGACTTAAATCAGCTTGAACATCTATGACAAGACTTGAAAATGGCTGTCTAGCAATGATCAACAACCAACTCGACAGAGTTTGAATAAAAAAAATTAAGAATAATGTGCAAATATATTAACCAAAAAGACTCACAGCTGTAATCGCTGCCAAAGGTGATTCTAACATGTATTGATTCAGGGGTGTGAATATTTATTTAAATTAGATATTTCTGTATTTCATTTGCAATAAATGTGCAAACATTTCTAAAAACATGTTTTCACTTTGTAATTATGGGGTATTGGGTGTAGATGGGTTTGAAAATAAAAAAAATTAAAAATAAAATTATTCAGGCTGTAACACAACAAAATGTGGAATAAGTCAAGGGGTATGAATACTTTCTGAATGCACTTTATCTGTGCACAATAAACATCTCCAATCACCACAGTCACCCATGCAGGTATCCTGGGACACAGTAAAAGTGAGATCTGGGACTATGGTGGCTCTTCAAACTGGGTCACGCCCTGTGATGCCATGGTGTGTGGAGGGATGGGATTGTGATGCTAAAGTGGGTCTGCATATATGGCTGGTCCAGATTTAGCCAAGAACCGATTAGAATCCAGAGACCTTGTCTATCTCAATCCCACAGGGACAGCGGATGATAATTGGAACTGTTCCTAATTAAACCTGGTCTGAACTCATGCAGAGGAAACCATTTTAGAAAGATAATAGGCTAAGGGTTTATATTGGAACAAGGTGAGCAAGTCATGATTGACAACCCAGGGTATGGGTTTATTCTTTTTATTAAAAAGTGCGAGACAGATTGCAACTGTAGCCTATTCATGAGAAAATGTGGTATGTCAAGATGTCATAGAGGGAAACCATTGGCTATACAATAGCAAAGTGTGAGATTTATCAATATGAACGTTTGCTTGAGACTGTGTGTAAATTTAAACATAGCCATGACCATGTGTACGCACAGTGGCAAGTGGTGGAATAAGGGAACTGCTTGTCAAGTGTAGGATGTGGAAAATATATATGTTAGAGTTAATTGTATTTCCATTGTGACCACATCAGTGCATTTGTTACGATAATAATCCATATAAAAGTACAGTAATTTGCTGAATTAGAGGCACGTGTGAAAGTTAAACTATTGTTGAAATACTATAAAAGACTGAGATAATGGGAAATCGAATGAGAGATGGCTGATCTTGCTCGGTTGGAAGATTTGGCACACGCTGCATTTCGCAGAGCGCGCGTTTTTAGAGACAGGTGGGACTTTTTTTCAGAAACGACAGATTGGCTCATCAGATATCGTTTCCCAAAACCAATCTTATAGGATCCTTATAGGATTTAAAACCCATTTAGAAAGGCCATTCTGGTGCACATCAAAGTGCTATCCACCCTCAGGTTTTTGGCAACGGGCACTTTTCAGCCGGAGCTTGCCCATCGGCATCTCACATCCCTCGACGAACCAATGTTTTGTATGCAATAACATACAATTTGTAACATACCATTTCCATAAACCATAGCACAACAAGTTTTTTTTTGTGCCACCAATGGGTTCCCAAATACGAACGGCGCAATAGCCGGCACCCATATCGCCATAAAAGCACCATCCCAAAACGAGTTGAACTATGTAAACAGAAAAGGCTTCTACTCTTAATGTGCAGGTGATAGGTTATGTGATGCGCAATAAAACGCTGCTGAATGTGTTGGCAAGGTGGAACACACAACTCGTTCATTCTGCAAAACAGCAATGCTGGCCTATAAGCCTACAGGAGGGAGCTGTTGAGAATATATGGCTTATTGGTGCGTGTTGTCTACTCATTTGAAGTTTATTTGCCATTGCTAAAGCAACTTAGAATTGTCCTAATGGTCCTCTCTTTGCAGCGATGTTTAAATGTTGACTGGTCAAACCACAACTGGGTGAGCCAAACAAAATATTTTGGTTGTATTCCATCTCTGACACTAGCACCTCTATTTCAGTCTCGGAAATCTTTTTTTTTTTCTTAGCTTTTTGGGGTTGTGCCATTGTAGGCTATTTCATGGTACGGCGTTGTATATTCCCCATGATTGACTATATGGTTAATTAGCAGCGTTTCGAAATGCAAATAGCCAAGGTTGTGCACAAGCACTGAGGCTGAAAACAATTGGTATTTATCAACGGATCTCCTACCAGTGTGCGTATGATGCTCATAGGATTGTTTGATAAATCACACTTTTTCTATGTGTACGAACAATCTAAATTCCGTTCTTAAGTAGTATTTTAGAATAGTTTCAACGCAATATTGATAAATGAGGCCCCAGGTATGTTAAAGAAAAAAATATTATATGTGAAATGTGAACATGGGGTGCAGAGAGGGTGTGGTCATGGCAACCAGTCAGCCAGGAGAGAGTGCCACTTACTCTGCGACGTGACTCCTCAATGGCAGAGAGCAGCGCATTGTCCCTCTCATTCTTCAGAAAGCCCTGGAAGGAGAGAAATGGCTGGAGGTTAGAATGGCTTTAACCAACATTCCACTTGACCACACAGTCAGGGCTCCTGCAACACACTAGCTGCAAGGGCTAGGCTAACTAAGGAGAATAACTATCATCATGATCGCTGTGCTAAAAAATGGGAGGCCAGAAATCAGGGCATAGCAACTTCATGTTCTTTGTAGCCGTAGAAGCCTCCTCCTGACCTGACATTCTAACCACTCAAAAATAACTCCTGTTACGCATCTTCAAGCGCTAAGCCATTTTCATGCTCGAACCCATCCCCACACTTCAACAGAGCAAACCCAGAGCCCATCTCAAGGCATTTTACAGTTAATTCAACGAAGCCTGACTGATGATGAGCACCAGTCGATTAGACGCACCGCACCTGGCCCTTTGTCCTCATATCATCCCATCTTCAATTTCCTACCTTAGGGAACAAACTCCACAGCGGGCCGAGATTCATCAGCATCTACATTCAACTGGCTAACATCATATACAAGAGATGGATAGATGCATCTTGAAGAGACTAAAATGTACAATGTCTGCTGTCTCACTCCTTTAAGGGGTCAAAATGGTGATATAGCAAGCCTGCCTTTCAGTACCAAAATAAAAAATTCCAATACTATTACTGTTGCAATACCTACATACAAGGACCTCAAATTGACAACTTGTTTTCTCATGTTAACGGCATAATCATGGGTTTAATTCAAGAGCAAATTTGCACACAGCTGTGTAGGCGCATGTAGACTGTGTTCACCCTCTCACATAGAGTAAGCTAATTAATGTACACTTTGGGACGCACAGAGAAACGTCAGCCTCCGCTCCTTCCGATGTAATAATAATAATAATAATATGCAATTTAGCAGACGCTTTTATCCAAAGCGACTTACAGTCATGCGTGCATACATTTTTGTGTATGGGTGGTCCCGGGGATCGAACCCACTACCTTGGCGTTACAAGCGCCGTGCTCTACCAGCTGAGCTACAGAGGACCACATCAACGGATGTCCGAAGAGAAAGAGAAAACATTTTGTTCCCAGAACAGGCAGAACCACCCTCGTAGTGGAGCTGTACATTGGCACCATGCAGCCAGCCAGCCGAGAGGGGAGGGAGGGGCGGGGGGGGAATCAAACTCACCCACCCACACATAAAGCAATGTAAAAGAGGGCGGTGGTTGAGGGGTCAATGCATCTAAACCAGGGTGGGGTTAGAGGCTAAGAATAAGATATAGCCTACTATATGCAAAATGGTTGTGCTGAATCGCCCATAGATCCATCGCGGATCGTTAGAAACCAAATCCCAGCCCATGAATGAATGGTACCACAGTGGTGACCGGCCTGCCACAATGACACAGATACCCCTGTAGCTCAGTTGGTAGAGCATGGCGCTTGCAACGCCAGGGTTGTGGGTTCATTTCCCACGGGGGCCAGTATGAAAATGTATGCACTCACTAACTGTAAGTCGCTCTGGATAAGAGCGTCTGCTAAATGACTAAAATGTCAAATGATACCCTGATAAGACACTGACAGTCAGCGCAATGGATGTCACTCTCACTACGCCCATCATCTGTGATAGTGGACACTGGCTTTAACATCTAGGCTAAATGCGGCCACACCCTTTCACAATGTGAGGACATTTATTTGCCTTAAAAACCTGATAATTTAGCCTATCGTAGCCTTCCATATTCCATAAATCTGCTACAGAGGAAAAACAGATAATCTCATGCCTTTTAGAGTGGAATTCCCTTTTATGCAGACGTGACATTTTTAAAGCTGAAAAGGGTAATGTCATACTTGAGTCTGCGATTAAGGCCTGCAGATCACACTGGCACACAATTACACTTCCTCGCCCAACATTAGGAGATACTATAGAAATATGTAAAAATAAAAAAAGAGCAAATCGAAGCCTAATCGATTTGGTATTTTCCAGGTGTCAGTATGATATGAAATAAATAGTAGTCTATCCCTTCTCTCAGATAATGGGCCTTTTCCTGCAGACCGTCTCGGCGCCTGTCATCTCCAGGACGGACAGCGCAGCATCCCGTCCACCCCTTCCTACCACACGGCTGCCTCAGCCCCACAGCCCCTCCCCCCTCGCCACAGGCTCAAACCTTCCCCCTTCGCCACAGGCTCAAACCCTCGCCCCAGTCTGTCCACTCCATCACATCACCAGACCAGACGTCAGAGTGGCAGCCGTCCGCATCTTGACTGACAGCTATAAATTATCATTGACTTATTACTTCAGCAGCCGACCGTCAAATTAAAAGTGTAAATGAACAGTGCGGTGAGCGCTAAAGGAGGGGGAGGCTGAGGCTTTTCAGTATCGCAAGCAATAAGAGCAGTATCTATCCTCTATTCAATAGATAAATCAAAGGAAGATTTCCTGCTATATCTTGCCAATTACATTTCTTGCTCAGTCATTGCGCTCGGTCCTCCCATCCTCCCGTCGTCTGTGGCAGAGAGAAAGGAGCGCCCCCCTCAGGAGATTCTGCTCTCCAAATGAAACAGGTTCTACCCAGTTTGCACCCTAAGAGCTGACAATGGAGCTATTTATATACCAGGAGAGCTCAGGTCATGTCTCCAAACACAGCAAGACACACAAAGAGGATAGATCTGAATAAAATGTATACATTTCCTTGTGAACTGGCATTGTGTGGCAGAATATAACAGAGTACCAAGATTAGGCTATGCGTTTTATTCTATGGTTTCCAGAAAGTGAAGGGTCAAAAAGGGAGGGGGAACTTATCCGCATTCTTAAATTTAATTTAAAATCGCACACTTTAGGCTATCATTTCATATTTAGGCAACAAAATAAGCTCTAAACTCCCTGAGCAATGTACAAAGAAGCTGTAAACTCCCTGTATCTTTTATTCATGGCATATATCCAGCGAAATACACATATGCAGTATGTAACATATATAGCCAGCTGGTCTGACTCTAGAACCTTCTCCTACATAATTGCATTGTCCCTCACAATTTGTATGGCGTAAACTGCATACGATTTTGCAAGAACAGAAAACATTCACTATAGTTCACAAAAGTTGAACTCAAGAAAGAAAAATACAGCATAGAAACAAATGTACATGTAACACATACACCATATCACCGTGCTGAAACATGTCACATACATGCGCACATACAATTCTTCAAAGGAGCAGTCTAAAGGTTAAAAAATTATCAATTTTGAATTCACAAATTATAGTGATTTTACTGCGTCTGTACATAGTTACAACATCACACACAGAAAGCATTCGATAACATCTTAAAATCAATTCTCTATCATCTGGATTTAAATGTTCAATTCTATGTTTCATCCTTTTCCCTTAGTTCTGCATGTAATGTACTGATGCTGTGAAGGGTCAGTAGCTGAAAACCTGCATCTTCATTTACTCTGTGTTAATGAGCGGAGCAGGGGAGGTGAAACCCCACCCTTATGCCACCACTTCCTGTGTTGGAGAATAAGCATTCATATAACTGACCACCACCATCACCATCTTCATAGTCACAGACAGAGATAGTGACAGAGTGAGAAAGAGGAAAGAGAAGGTGACAGACAGATTGTCACACAGACAGAGCAGATGTATAAATGCAGTGTGTCTGTGTGTGGAGGCGATACTCACTCATGCTGTGGCTCAGCCTGCCAGGCAGGGAGAAAGAAGAGGAAAGGTGCAGGTAGCCAGGCGTAGACAGACCTATGCCTGTCACTAAACACACTGCCCTGTCTCCATCTGAAGAACTGAGCAGGCGCCATTCTGGGGCGTTTTTGGACCCTCCTCTGACAGGCCCGCATCGCAGACGCTGCACCTTCCTCACCCAATGTGGGCCACCAGTGTGAACCCAGAAATGTGCCACATGAAGGGTTACTGTAGGCTGTTTTATTGTTGGAGGACTGTACCAAGTCAACCCTCAGACGCAGGGGGGATCAAGGAGGAGTGATTGCTCAACCTCACAGGCCTTCTTCTCTCCATCAGCAGATCCTCCCCCGCCGCCTGCTTCTTTCCAGCATCCCTGCCGTCCTCTTCTCTCAGTGCCACTCATTTCTTCCTTTTTTATACATCTATGCATCTATGCATCCTTCCCTTTTTCCTCCTCCCCTAGCGCAATGCAATTATGGTAATGGATTTTCTCCCCTCTGCTGATGGCTTCCGACATCCTGTCCAGAAATTGGGCTAATAATCCTCTTAAGGAGTCATGTTTAGTTAATGAGAAGGGTGCAGTGGCTTCTCAGGGGGGCATACACAGAGTACACAGCTGCACAGACCAGACATACTGCACATGTGAAGCTATTTAACCAAAGTCTGCTGTAGCAGCAGCTGCGCTTATCAGACTGTCCAGAGAATACATGCCATCACTATAGCTCCTCTCAGAGAAAGATGGGGGAGGGAGAGAAAGAGGGGGAGGGAGAGAAAGCAGGAGCAGAAAAGGATGGAATAGAAAAACTGGGAAATGGAGAGAAAGACACTTCTCCTTTCCGCCATTTTATCGTTTGACTGTGCTCCAGCTCTCTTTCCATGTCTTTCTCGCCCCTATTCTATCTTCATCTCAGTTTTATTCTGTCCATCTTTTCTCTTCTTTCTCTGCATCTTTCCCTTGGTTATTTCTATCACCCCTTTCTCACTCTCATTCGTTCTTTATCTCCATCCTCACTGATGTGAGCCATGTCTCAACACATACAAATAACACATTAAAACATTTTTAAAAATACACAGTAGGTTATATACAAACCTTAAACGTAAATGCGGGAAATCATATGCATTACCAACCATATATACTACAGACATCATTCACACCCCAATTCCTCTCTGTGAGCCGCCCACATAGAGATAAGAGCGGCTACGCCTCATCAGCATCCAGCTTTTCCTTTGTCTTCTTAAGCTTCCCTTTGAGCATTTGAACATACAGTACTACACAGTGCAATCACAGTCAATGTAAAGAATACCACACAATATTATTACCAGTACCTAGGCTACTGAAAAGACTAAGCTATGAATGCAGTGCAGACAATAGGGAGGATAGCATTCAGTACCACTGACTACACATAGGCTACCACATACAAGTATCATCTCCTGGCCTAGCCTAATTGTCGTGACTAATACATAGCTGAAAAGGGTGGCAATCCATAGGCTAGGTATAAAAGATTACTTAGCAATCAAGGCACACAGTTTGTAACATAGGCTATTTGAAGAAAAGTGAATTTCAATGTCCGCCAGTTTGATAATAGATCTTCAATAGATTTTTGTTGTACCTTGACTCAACTCTACAGAGGCTCCCTGCCCGTAAGGTTAACACGAGTCACCAGTAATGTGAGAGTAATACTGGCTTTATACAGCAAGGTCACACAGTTTTTCAAAAATATATTTAAACTGTCATGTGAAAAAATGGGCAGGAATGCAAAGGTATGCACAGTGGAGGGGGAGGATAAACAGTAGAAGGCCAGCCACTTCCCACCGTGTCTGGCACACGCACGCAAC